GCCTCTGGCTTGGTCCCTTTCTGCAGTTGACTAGCCAAATGTTTTTCTCTTCATAACACCTGTCCTTTAAATGTACGCAGGCAGTTTGGAGTATGAGGAATGGTATAATCACAGGCAAGCTTGGAAACTGGAATCTGCTGCGATTGTGGAGCCTCCAGCAAACTTTATTACTGAATTCCATACTAAGGGCAAGAGAAGGTAATTCTCCCTTTTTCCTATTTGACAACCTACACATGTTGAATTTAAATTTCATGCAAATCTTCTTGTCTTCCAGGCCTCGATGGGCGCTCATTGACAAGGCGTATATGCACAACACATGGAGAGCATCACAATCTTCCTATCATCTGTTTCGTACAGATGGGAAATTCTCTGCACCAGAATCCGTGACACTTTTGGTTGATGATCTTTTGACCCTCTGTTTGCACAACTATGAGACTGTTCGAGTGTGAGTACTTTTGTACCCATCTATGGTCAAAATATGCATGTGAATGAATAATTGGTTGTAGGCCTCTTGAACCAGAATTTTGTCTGTAAATTTCTTTACATGGATTTACTTTCTTTCAATGCATTAATTGACTAGGCTTTGCTCTTAAATTTCTTGTGGTGTTCAGGCTTGCTGGGAAATCTTTGCTGAAACTGTTAAAGAGATGGCCGCCATTGCTTTCAAAGTGTGTTCAGTCCCTTAGTGAGAACTTGCGAAAGCAGGATACACCAGAGAATGTAGTTCTTGGTTCTTGTGCCATTCTCTCTTCACAGAGTGTTCTCAAGCATTTGACAACGGTAGTCATTTAGTGTTAGTTGTTCTTTGCTATATTTTCAATTTTTAACTCTTATGTTTTTCTGCTACTCCAGGATCCAAAATCATTTTCCTCTTTTCTTCTTGGAATTCTTTCAAGGTAGCCTTTTTACATTTCTAAGATCAAATACTTGTATCTTTTGGTTAGGACAAATATGCCTGTAAAATTGGTATTAAGATTTATTCTCATCTTTTGTAGTTCTCATCACGAATCTATGAAAGCCCAAAAAGCAATCATTGAGGTAAAAGTTCAGCGTTTGTTACTAGGGTAATAAAGGCCTTTTTTTTTTTTGAGTATGTGCCTGAAGTTTTTGTGCTTGCAGCTTTTTGTCAAATATAACATTCACTTCGCGGGACTGTCTAAAAACATAATTCGCTCATTGGATAGCCATGTTGAAGGGTCTACTTCTGGAGATCTTGTTTCTCAGATCGGCTCCATGAGTTTTGATTCATCTAGCTTGCACTGGCGGTAATACCCTGACATTAATCAAATTTTTCATTGGAAAATCATATTCATATACCTAGTTAAACTTTTAGCTCCTCAACTCTCAGAAATGTAATTTCGAAGGTATGGAGTCTGATGCTTTTTCTTTTACTTATACCAGGTACAACTTGATGGCTAACAGAGTGCTACTTCTGCTAGCTATGTCCTCTAGGATTGATCCAAGCTTTTCCTTCAAAATCCTTGATGAGACTGCTGGTACAGATTTTAGTTGTCGTATAAATGGGAAGGCTTTTTCTTCATGTTATTTGAGTTTCTGATTCTTAACTAAGTTTATGTTGGTATTGCCAGGCCACTTCTTGAAAAACTTGAAAAGTCAACTTCCTCAGACGAGAATACTGGCAATCTCAGCTCTAAACACGCTACTTAAAGAATCACCTCATAAGATGCAAGGCAAGGATCAACCTTCTGTGTCTTTACAAGAAAATGCTAACTCATCTCTTGATTTAGCATTGAGCCAAATTTTTCAAGAGGAAGGATTCTTCAGGGAGACTTTTGAAAGTCTTTCTCATATTCATATCACTGACACTGATAGTTCCTCCTCTAGAGGTAATCACGGAAGTTCATCCTTCCAGAGCATGGCGGACAAGTCAATCACTCGTTTCTATTTTGAATTTTCGGCTTCGTGGCCAAGAACTCCTAGTTGGATATCCTTGCTAGGAAGTGATATATTCTACCCAAGTTTTGCTCGCATCTTCAAGCGCTTAGCACAGGAATGTGGAGTGCCTGTGTTGTTGGCACTTAAAATCCCCTTAGAAGAGTTTTGTAACGCCAAGGAGAGACCAAAACAGTGTGTTGCTGCTGAAGTTTTAGGAGGTTTACTGCACTCTGATGTTAATGGCCTTCTTAGTGAGTGGGACAGCTGGATAATGGTTCAGTTGCAGAATGTTATTCTTGGCCAATCAGTAGAATCTATACCGGAATGGGCTGCTTGCATACGTTACGCTGTCACAGGGAAAGGGAAACAAGGAAACAAAATTCCTGTCTTGAGACAACAAATTTTGGACTGTATAGTGGCACCATTGCCACCAACCGCAACCACCACTGTTGTTGCAAAACGGTATGCTTTTCTTTCGGCGGCTTTAATAGAACTATCTCCACCACAGATGCCCATATCAGAAGTGAAGCTGCATATCGTGCTTCTTGACGAGTTGATCCGTAATATGTCCCATTCCTCGGCACAAGTAAGACTTCCCGCTCACTTATTATATCTCTGCCCCTTTTGTTTTCATGCAGAATCATGCATTTGACAAGCTAAAAAAGCGTTAAAAATAAAATTCTCTAAAGCTTGTTACTTTTGTTTTAAAATGAACAGATAAGGGAAGCTATCGGTGTAATTCTTTCAGTATTGTGCTCCAACATTCGGCTGCGGATGTCATATCAACAAGAACATCCATCTGAAGAAGGGAGAACCGATGTTGATAGCAGACTTGAGGAGGAAAATTGGTTCAACTTGATTAGTGCAAGAGCATCTGAATCTGTTACAAACATTCAACAAGCTAGCATATCAGATAGCTTGGACAATTCAGCAGATGTAGATATGGAAAATGCTCAGTCAAATGGCGATTCTCTAGAGGATGTTAAATGGATGGAGACGGTACTGCCTGTCTCAATTTTTGAAGAGTTTTCGTTTTCTTCCTTTTATTTGAGACATTTGATACTAATCTCTCTCCCTCTCTCTTTTTTTATCGTATCTATAGCTCTTCCATTTCATTATCTCATCTTTCAAATCTGGGAGGTCTTCATATCTGGGAGATGTAATTGCGGGATTTCTCTATCCGGTGATATCCTTACAGGTATAGCCCTTATATCTGTCTTAACTTTCTTTGTTATAAATTGATGTTCTATAATTGGGAATCATGGAAGATTTTTTTCCATCTAATGAAGGAAACATCGCATAAAGATCTGTCCACATTGGCTAAGGCAGCCTTTGAGCTGCTGAAGTGGCGGGTTTTCCCAGGATCTCATCTACAGAAAGTTATTGGAGTTATTCTTTCTTCTGCTGATGACTCTAACTGGCGGATAAGATCTTCAACCCTGACATATCTGCGAACTTTTATGTACAGGTAAAAAAAAAAAAAAATATATATATATATATGATCTATACTGCAACTGCAAGGTGACAAACAAATGCGCTGTTGATTAACAAAGCTTTTCGATTTTGACCTTTCCTACTAGGCATACTTTTATACTCACTCATGAGGAGAAACAGAAAATTTGGAAAACCGTAGAAAAGCTCCTTGTTGACAGCCAAGTAGAGGCAAGTTCTAGTTTTGCTTTCTTCCACGTCAGGATTATGTTGTTATCCCGTAAAAGTTGTTTTTAAATGATTCAATATTGTGATTTTGGATACATCAAACGCATAGGGCTTGCACCTCTTAAATGATATAATTTGGTCTTCAGGTACGAGAGCATGCTGCAGCAGTTATGGCAGGCCTAATGAAAGGAGGGGATGAAGATTTTGCTGCAGATTTTCGTGATAGATCCTACGCAGAAGCAAACTCAATCCAAAAGAAAAGAAACCGGAGGTTTTCCCTTTCTTCCCTCTTTAAGCATTTTCATTTCAACTTATTGTCTCTAAAGATGATACAAGCAGAAAATTCAAGCTCTGATTGGCATATCTTTTCCTCGATTTTGTTTTGGCATGACCTAAGTATTGAAGCTGGTTTGTTTCAGGAAATCAAGTTCAACTCAGTCCATCGCGGAGGTGCACGGAGCCGTTCTTGGTTTGGTAGCTTCAGTTTTATCTGTTCCTTATGACATGCCCAGGTTTGAACATCTTTCCAATAAATTGTGATGCAGAGCTTAAACTTGAGAAATTTTTTTAAAGAATCTGAAACTTTAAAAATATATTTCAGCTGGTTGCCGGATCATGTGACTTTACTGGCTCGTTTCGCCGGTGAACCTACGCCTGTAAAATCTACCGTGACTAAAGCGGTGGCTGAGTTCCGGCGAACCCATGCAGATACATGGAACATCCAGAAAGACTCTTTCACTGAAGAACAGCTTGAGGTAATGCATTTAGGTTGTGCATTATTTTTCTAGATTATGTATAGAGGGAAGATTTCTACATATTTACTTCACACTCTATCAAACAAATTTGGCAAATGTGAGATTGAAAAACGTACAAGTAAATAAACTAACATTATCGTGTTCGTCATACTAAGAGAGAATAATACTCGTATACCTATAATTGAGAAATGTGAGAAATACCAAAATATTCTTGTTCTTGTTGGTGATTAAATAATGTGATATTTTGTCCCAACATTTGCAGATCTTGGCCGATACATCTTCCTCATCCTCGTACTTTGCTTGATTTATGCCTGGAGAATTCAGTTTCGTCGAAAACAATAAATACTACTCTTTAAGGAACCAATCACATCTCTGTACTCTTCGGTTGTTATATACTCTTTAGTATCTTTGATTTTATACCCCAGTAGATGTAATAACATCAAGGTTCAGAACCATGGTCTCGATTTTTATACTTGACAACGATAATTTGAGAAATGTGTTGGAAATACACACAACTAAAAAAAACATGGGATTTTATTTTTTACTTCCTTGAGCTATATAGTAGTAGTCATAGAAGGGATCTTATCGTCGAACCAGCCACCAAAACTCATTATATATAACAATAAACTTTACTTCGTTCTTAATCTGAATCTAAAGAACAGACAAAAATCTCATCATCAAGTGAATTTTTCATGTGCCGTAGATGTGCAAATTGTGCTTCTACATCAATTTCTTCAAAAAGGTTATACCTTTTAACTAATATGCTTGACAAAGTAGACAAAAATTTGAAACAAACATTTGACCAAAAAAAAAAATTTGAAACAAACAAAAAAAGTTAGGATAAGATATCATTCATTTACAAATGTTATTTTTTAAAAAAGTTTGCAAGTATATTGTTCGGGAAAACGGCTAATTCCACCATGAAGTAAGAAATCCCTGACAATTTAAATATGACCTATAGAACAATGCCAAAACCTACATAAACTTTGTAAAATTTTGAATTTCCACCATAAACTACAAAATTATGGTCGAAACAACCAACACTGTTGACGTCGTGACTTCAACCGTTAGCTGCTGATGACTGGACACCACGTGGTAAACACAAAACGGCGTCGTTTTATTTTGTTGGAAATTAACAAAAAACTATCGGGTCTTCATCGTTTCTGATTTTCTGGTTTGGGGAAAACTTTTGCAATCGGATATCTTAGAACCCTAGAAATAATTGAATGATGTCTGGAGCCACGAGTAATGTATCAGGGGCTTCGTCTGAATCATCAACTGGCCGGCCAAGAAGCGGAAGAGTTGTGGGTGTGCCCAAAAGATGTTGGTGTGGTGAGGAGATTGTTGCTTTGATATCCAAATTCGACAAAAATCCTTACCGTCGATACTACCGTTGTGGTTATGCTGCATCAAAGAAGGTAATATGAATTGCTTATAATTCGTTGCTGTGATTTCGTTTCTTGTGATCGTTATTGATGTGTTTTTTTCGATTTTCAGCTTATGAATGATAATCATATATTCAAATGGGTTGATGAGGCACTCTTAAACGAGATTGAGACATTGCAATTCAAAAATGCAAGACTTGAGCAAGAGTTGAAAGAGATTACAACAGACCGTATGGAGTTTGAAAATAAGGTTTTTGAGAAGGTTCAAGTGAAGTTAGAGAATGAGATATTGGAGAGGGTTGAAGATTTATTGGTTGATACGAAATGTAGCATGAAAAAGACAATGGTTCTTGCGGTCATTGGATGTATGATCCTTGTTGGATGCATGAAGCTAGTAGGTTGAAGAAGATGGTGATTTTGTAGTTTGTTGGTTGTAGTTTGTTGTTTGAAGTTTGAGCAAGAGTTATGCAATGGTTCTTGTGTCTTAATGGTTTAAATCATGAAATACATCTTTGTAATATTTGTACTTTGTAATGTTTCCCTCTTTGTGATATTGGTTTAAATAGTGAATGCATCTCTTTTTCATATTTGCTGATTCAATCAAAAAAGAGTTGATATAAGAATTTTAAAAACTGCAGATTTTTAAAAATTGCAGGTTTTCATAACAAAGACTGCAGGTTTTAATTTATGAATCTATAACGCCAACAACCATAACGCCAACAACCTTAACGCTAACCATTAATCCATGAATCTAAAACAAAATAAACCATAACGCCAACCATTAATCCATGAATCCAAAACAAAGTAAACCGCAATGGCAACCAAAATACCAAAATACAATTCAAGAACACCCAAACGATTATAAAAAGAAGTGTTTACATGAATCCAAAACATAATACACCGCCATTGTAGCCTACTAAAATAACCGAACCATCAAAAGCCTCAAAAGCCTCTCTTAACCAAACATTATCCTGCAAAAATGAACCACAAATAGAAACAAATCAAAACCTGAAACAAAACCAAATAAAAAACCTGAAAGTGAAACACAAACCTGCTATTAGTCAATCACTTGGCTTTGCATTGGCTGACTTGATCCCTCACCAATATCAGATTGAGCTTCAAGCACCTTCTTCTTTTTTGGTGGTCGGTGAAGAGCAATTACAACATTCTGACATCTTCTTGTGTTATGTCCACTTTCTCCACATCTTCTACAATGAACGATTCTTTTTTCTCTTGAAATCTTTGTTGGAGACGGATCCCTCTGCTTTGCCTTCTTCTTACTTGGAGACTCATTCTTCCCCTTGATCCTTTTAGGAATTTTTTTTCTTCCTCTTGTTGATTCTGTTTCTGTAACTGGTGGCACAATCCCAACTTCATCAGTCTTTCCCCAGAAGTTTACACCACGTACAGCACTAATTGTTGTACTATATTGACTTCTCCACTTAAAAGTCAAATAACAATCAGCTATATAATCATCTTGCTTGCGCTTCTTCTCTGAAATCACCTTCAAAGCATGACGACAAGGCAATCCTGACATATCCCATCTTCGACAGTCGCAAGTGCGATCAAGCATGCGGACCTCGAATGAAGAATTTTTCTCTGTAACCTCATAAACCTCATGACCAGCAGGAAATACCTTACAGTGCAGGATCTTTTTCTGCTCCAAATCGACTCGTTCCATTGCTTTTATACTAAATTTACCTCTATGCCTCATTGCCTTAAGCCTTCTTGCTTCAATGCGCAACATTGCTCGTCTCCGTATTGTCTCCAACATTTCAACGAGAGGCATGTTTCTTGCAGGGTCAATGGCACTGTTAAATGACTCAGAGATGTTGTTGCTTACATCATCACACGAAGATGCGGCTGTGAAAAAAGCAAGACTGCAATTTTTGGGATTCTTCTCCATCATCGAATTGTAGACATTCATATCATACGCCTTTACTTCATCCACCCTTTTCCTGTATTGTGGTCCATTGTAGCTCTTTGCAACCTTCCAGAATAGCCCTTTCATGTCAGCTCTGTTTGGGTGTTTCTTCTTTAAGTTTGCATAAATGTGTCTTGCACACATTCTATGTTCAACCTTCGGTAAGAAATCTGCGACAGCATTCAACAATCCCTGCAAACATTCCCAAATAAAGTTTCAGAAACCCGCGACAACATTCAATAACTCTATGATAATCATGAAATATAAAGTAAGCTAAACTCATGAATACCTTTTGTCTATCTGATATAACTGTAAAGCCATCATCATCTTTAAGATCCAAATCTGTTTGCAACTTCTCAATGAACCATCTCCAATTAGGTTCATTCTCAACATCAACAGCAGCCAGGCAATAGGGAACATTTGGTTATTTGCATCTCTTCCAACAGCTGCTAGCAACTGCCCTTTTATTGCGCTCTTAAAGAAGCAACCATCAAGACCAAAGATGGGTCGGCAATGAGAAGACCATGTTTGTTTCAGTGCAGCGAAACATACATAAAATCTGTGAAAGACATCTGCTCCATCCTCTCCCTGAAATGTCTCAAGTTCGACAGTAGATCCCTCATTTGTTCTAGAAAAAATAAACACAAACAACTTTGATAAGTGAAGATAAAACATGTAAAAACCAAAAGATGAAACATGTAAAATAAGAAACTTACTCTATGAGCTCTAGACGGTAGTCTCTAAGTCTTGAGAATTGTAAGTCATTTTCCTCTTGGATCATGTCTAGGGCCCTTTTCTTTGTCTTTCTGCACTGGTCTACCGTTGCAATTAAACTCCAACGCTTCTGAATCTCATATTGAATAGCTTTTGGCATGATGGTCGGATCATCTCTTAGATCATCCACAAACAGCTTGGCGATGACCTCTTGAGAAAGTATCTTAGAACGCCAAGTCTTCATGCAAGTATGCTTCTTGTTGTATACTTTAACCAACCATTTTTGCAATGGTTCTTCATAAGAACAGTAAATCTTCCACATACAGTTTTCTTCTCCTTCTTCAGCTTCACTTGCACATTTAAGTTCAGACTTGTCTTTCTCCCAACGGACATATTTCACATTCCATCCTTCCTTTAATACATAATCGACCATAGCTTGCTTAAAATCTTCTAAACTGTCAAAGGATTGTCTCAATTTCAGCTCACCACTGCCTTTCTTATATCTAAAATAACCCCCTGCCACATTATCATCTTCTTCATCATCTGAGCATACGGGTGTCAGATATTCATCAATCTCTTCATCAACAAATTCTGCTACATTCCTTTCAATCCTTGCTTCTTCATGAAACTGATGCTCATCACTTGCAACTTGAGTATCTTGCTCAGTACGACCAGTCTCTTCGTTCTCGATATCAGGCTCGACAAATATATCAATTGCTTTGGTCCACATTGCAGCTTCACACATCTTCTTAAAGTTTTCATCACCATTACACAATAATTTTCGGTCTTCCTGTTCTTCAAAAGGGAGCTTATACCATACTCTCTGACCATACAAACTCACTGGCAGATGATTCATTAACTCTGTAAAGAGTGAAGAAGGGCGAGCTTGCAGAATCCAATAACCACCACCGGTGTAAAGTTCTCGGCCATCAACACTATCAAACTTGCCTCCATAGAAACAACCGAAAGTAATCTGTGTCTCTACTTGGGAATCACTGCAGAAATTAAAATAAAACCAAGTTAACTTCTTTGACACATTTAATCAAACACTTGGTAGACATGTTTCAATCTCATTCTCTCATCATGTAAATCAAACAAAAATGCCAACACTAACTTAAATTGATGATCCCTAGGCAAAACTAACATACTTCGCCATCTAAAATCTACTAAAAACTAAGAATTTCTGAAAATCAAACTTCAATTACCTCATTGATGAATTATCAGACGGGAAAATAATTAGAAATATCGGGATCCAATGCTTTTGGATTTTTCTTGAACCCCCAAACCAACGCCTTTGTTAATCAATAGACGTCCATCGAATTTGAATAAGCTGAACTCTCCAATTCCACAATTTTTTAGTTTCCTGTGAACAAGAACCCGACTCTCTTATCCGTGAAAAAGAAAAAGCTTAAACTGAAGCCAGAGAGAAACGACGTCGTTTTGGATCTGTTGCAGTTAGTTTCTATGACGACGTCGTATTGACAGATTACGTAGCGTCCAGTCATCAGCAGCTAACGGTTGAAGTCACGGCGTTGACACTATTGGTTGTTTCGACCACAATTTTATAGTTTATAGTGGAAATTCAAATTTTTACAAAGTTTATGTAGGTTTTGGCATTGTTCCATAGGTCATATATGGATTGTCAGGGATTTCTTACTTCATGGTGGAATTGGCCGTTTTCCCTATATTGTTCAGATCCATTTTGTAAATATATATATATATATATTTTCAAAAAAAATTTCAAAAAAATGATATTTAAATTATGAATTGTAAATCCTAACAATTCTAGACCGAACTCAGTTATAGTAACAAACTAAGATAACTGACTGAAAAACGATTCAAAATAACCACATAGCTTTATTCCAAAATTGCAAGAGCGGAATTGATAGTGGAGGAGTTGGCGGTGGGCAGAATTAACAAGTCGACAATTAGCGGTGAATAGAATTAACAAATTAACGGCTTATATTTACAACGTCGTAGAGTCCTCTCAAAATTCTGAATCTCACGCGCTGATTGAAATTGGATATCATATTAGACTTTAGATTGGATTTCCATCAAATAAAAAAAATATTTAATAAAATTATGAAATACAAATTATTGTTAAAACATTATATCCGAAAAACAAAAAAAAAATATTAGATAGATCTAATTACTAGCACAAAATTATGTATATAGAAACAAAAAAAATTATATCTAAGTACTAAAAAAACTATAAAATAGTTATCAGATCTATTTATATTTTTGAACCAATATTGTATTTATTTAGATACAATTAGATCAAAATACGTAAGTTTATCTATAATTCATATTCGTCATAATTGTTGTAAGTTAACACAATTCTCGGCTTTTGAAATAATATATTTTATTAAAAAATCAATTCTTATTCTTATCTACAAAATAAAGTAGGATTTCGATACCAACAAACGTATGGGTAAACCTTAATTAAAAATATTATTTTACTAACAAAACTGATTTTAGATTTAAATAGAAAACATATTTCAAAAACTGGATTAATTTTCCAACTCTTTGTAAAACAAAATGGAAAACTATATAATCCTGAAATGTCAAATCGGTTGATGACTTTACTCTTTGGTATAAACGGTAACGGTTGGTCAAACCAACAAACAACAAATATAAACGATCCAGTAGGGGTATTTTCGGGTTTTTAGAAAAAGCCATATCGGGGATAGAGCCTCTTGCTGAAAAAGCGAGTTACGTATATATGTATTTTATCTTCTCGTCGAACCGGTCTATGGATTGAACCAGCCACCAAAACTCATTATATAACAATAAACTTTACTTCGTTCTTAATCTGAATCAAAAGAAGAGACAAAAATCATCTTCGTATCAAATTTGTATTGTCAAGTCTCGGAAAGTGATATCCAATCAAGTTTTCACTGTTGTTCATAACAGTCAAAATGGAAAACTATAAAACACAAGAACGAATCTTCAATCTTTTCATAACATCATTGTAGTTTAACAAAAACTGTAACCTTTCTAAGTCACTAAGAATATTCATTTTTTTTTTCTGGGGAGGGAAAGCCAAAAGGAATAAACCTTCACTTGTTCGAACAAAACTTCAAAACGTTTACAGATTCGAGTTTGTGGAAACCACATTAGAATCAGGTTTTACATCTTAACATCTCTCCCCAACAGTTCGTGTTCCTGAGATCATCAGGTTTTAATAAAGAAAGACCCAACTTGCTTCACACCAGACTCTTCCACCGGAGTTATATACCATCTAACCAAGAAAAACCAAGACAGCAAAATGAGAAATTTCATCAGACTGTTCTTGCTGAATGCAATGAAGAGAGAATATTCAAGCAGTTCCCTGTCACAGCCGTATCATGGAGCAAGGACAAGCCAAAACCGGAGAAACTGCAAAGAAACTCGCTCCTGGTATTCAAATGAACCAACTAACCTTGTTGAGGATCTTCGTGTACAAAGAAACTGGCAGCTACTATCAAATAACAAAGAATGAGCATCAATCCTTTGAAGTAATTCGATGTTCCTTCCTGTGTGGATACAGAGATCATCAGTTATTGGTTTCGCATTTTTCATGTGATTCTAAAGGTGACTTATACTTAGCCTTTAGGACTTTTTACCCACCTGGAGAAAAAAAGCTACTACTATAACGGTTATGAACAGCATCGCCGTCTCAAAAAGCTGAAAGTTGAGGTCCATCTGTTCACCCATCATCCATCCGATCACCACACAGAATGGGACCTGACCATATCAAGCAGCAAACGGAGTTTATGGAACAAATCGTGTGGGCCAAAAATGAAATACTATTGCTCTTTCAATGTATCTACGTTGTTGCATACCGCGAACATGGAAATTTGGATCGAGGAACCAATAGCCACTCCCAAGGACAGATCCTGTAGAGGTGAACAAAAATATTAAACCGTGTCTCAAGGCGAGATGAGAACGAAGAGCCTCTACATGTAACTACTCTGCCTACCAGTTTGTCTTTCATGGCAAACATGATGGCACCTGCATGCTCAGCTGCATTCCCAACAATAGGAAGCAAGATGACACTGATAAAAGCTATTGGTATGTTCCAAGAGACCGAGGCACCCTGATAAAACAATTACATATGCCAAATGTTTACACTACGAAGTTGTGGTGGTTGTCAAGAAAATTACTGCAATGAATAAACTCTAACAGTGGAAAGATCATACGGTCAATGAATGAAGACCAAGTTAACTACATATTAATCAGTAAAGCAATAATATCTTCCTGGTGAAAATGCAGGAAAGTAACGCCGATTACCTCTATGGCATCAACAAGATAGCCAGAGAGAAGAGAGACCCAAGCAGTCAAGATTGAGAGCCATATGATAGCTTCCCATTTGGAGATCTCGGGATCTTCATCTTCATCGGAAGTTTCTTCGTTCTGATTTGTTTCCTAAAGTTGACAGCATTTACCAAACAAGAATAAGTCCAGGTCAAACACAACTACACAAACTATTTTGTGTCAGTTGGTTTATATACTGGAGGCAACCACTGGTGGCACACAACAAACCTCATCAAGAGGACTATAAGAATTAGACTGGCTCTTCAACTGGAAAAAGAGGTAAGCGGCATAGGCTATGAGCATTATGCAACTGCTGAACCTTGACAGGGCCAGCTCCGATGATCCGGCATGAACCTCACTATGCGTGTAGTGCAAAACAGCCGGGAAGAGTATCCCCATTACAGCCATCAAAAGCAATCCTGAATTCACAACTGCAATTCCCTGGATGCAGAAGAGTAAGGTTCAGGAAACCTTGGTAAAGAATAGCAATAAAGAAAAGCGACAAAAGAGAATACACTGAAGTGTTAAGGATTACTACTTTGTCAAAGACTTGGTCTTTTTGGTAAAACACAAGCCCACCGCAGAAGAAAGCACAGCCAAGTACAAGCAACATGTTAGACAGAATCGATCCTAGTAACGTCAGCTGAACAACACGTATCATTCCATTTTTCAAAGCGAAAATCGATATGATCAGCTCCGTCACATTCCCGAATGTAGCATTTAGGAGGCCACCAACTGTGAAATGTGTACAGCATGTCAAAACATATCACAAAAAGAAAAAAAAAAAAAGAATTACATATTTCAAAAGAACCGAGTCATACCAGTCGGGCCAGTGTAAAAAGCCAGTTGCCTGTTTCAAATAAGCCAAAACTTACACATAAGTCTCGCAAACAAAATGATAACACGGTAAATAGTTTGTGCTACAAATGCTTACTCTGTGGCATATCCTAGACGTTCAGCCAGTGGTGTAATGCCTATTAAGCTCAGTAAGAACACCCAACCCTGCGCCACGGCAAGATTCATTTTCTTGAGATTCAACTCTTAGAAACTATATCAGTATAACAAGTACCCTAAAAATCCAACAATTTACCTTACTATCTATCATGTAGTGGACCAATATTGCTAGAGGACCGAAAGGTAATAAAAGATTGAGTTTGTTAGATAAAATGACGATCCTGATGCTCTTAAGCACGCTGTTCTTTGGTGATTTAGTCGTGTGTCCAGAAAAATTCGGAGAAAGTGAGCCTTGCTCCATCAAAGAAGCTGCTTTAGTTTGCGTGGCATCTTCTTCTCGTCTAAATAAGCTTTTGTGCTCGAGCTCATTGACCGACCCCATCTGTTTACAGCAAACATCTTCTAATTAAGCCCACAACAAGCCTAGGAACTCAGGTAAGAGATCAGATCTGTACAAAAAACCTCTGGCAACACAGAAATCAAAAAGAGTGTATGTTGGGCGTGAACTTACTTCAATTTGTGCTTCGATAAGAGCCGGCAATTTACAATGACTCATAACCCTCGTGCTGCCAAAAACATGGACCAAGGATAAACTATTCTGCAGCAACCTAAGATACATGGAAACTTCTTGTATGAGATCTCTGAGTTTGTGACAACAACATTTCGCTAAATAAATCGCTTCCACATCACCAAATACGAAGGAAACGTTTTCTTGAGTAATATATAAACGCCAAACTACAGAACTTACACAGAAAACCCATGAATCCAAAAGAAATCCAGTGATCTCATAAAAATCGAGACTTTGTTAAAGAAAATAAAAAAAAAGGCAAAAGAGAGACCGCAAGTTTACCTCGCAGTCAACGAAGGGTCGGAGAAGAAGAAGAAGAATCGAGCAAAGTTGCGCAAACCAAATCAAAGCATGACCCGAATAAGAAAGAAGAGCGACTTTGAGGTTTCTAAATCTTCTTCTTCTGATCCGCTGAAGACGAAAGGAGAGACGGTTAAGTGTGATTTCAAATGATGGAATAGTTCATGTGGAGGAGATTTCGTGATCTGGAAGTCGGTGTAAAATAGAATCTCTAGATCTCAGATTGTTAGTAGGGCGCGAGGGCGAGGAAGTTTCGTTCTGGGTTGAATTCAGTTGAAAGAAAAACTAAGTTTTTTTTTTCTTTCTTCTTTTATTATTCTTTTTTGGCTCAGAGAACGTCGTTGAAGAAGACTAAGATAATAACGGCGCCGTTTTAACATTTTACGACAGTTCCCATTTCCTCTCAAGAAATCTAGCCTCTTTGTCTTAAAATAGGACCGCGAATCTCATGTTATTTCTCAATAAATACTCTTAAAATCGTGTTCAATTTATAGTAAGAAATAAAAGATATTAACCTAGCCATGAACACAAATTTTATACTTTATTCACACATAGATTTATTATTATCTTTAAAGTTAAAAGAGGTAACAAATGGAATTATACTGAAAATATCTTTAAAATATAATAACTCCACGACGAACGATATCCGGCTCGATTGGTCACGTACAAGGAAAGGAATCGGATAAAGACGAGACAGATCAAAATCAACCAAAGGTGACTCTCGTCACTAGTACCACATCTTCACTTGTGTCATATAATAATCCAAACACATGAACAACCATGAAGAAGGATGCGAGTTTTGGTGCAGGAGAAATGAACTAGTCATGGAAGTTGTGATGCTCTTTAGTGGTAGTAAATATATCGCTGTATAATCAAAGAGATCCTCTGCGAAGAATCTCTGTTAATTACTTTGTTTTCGTGTTGGCTTTTTGTTGTTGCGTGTGTTCGAATTAGGGTATAAAGATTTTGTTTTTTTATGCGAAAGCCATATACTTTTTTTTAAACGGGTGAAATGTCAAAATCCTAACAATAACATCATCGTGTCATCAGTGGATTTGACGCATGTCGGCCCATTAAGTTGGTGCGACCATTGACATGGTCCATCACCATGCGAGTCAACCACTAATACTTAGGTTTTCGATGATGTGGACAAGTATCATTGGCCAAATTTTATAGTTCAGGTTAAAAGTTAACTATTTGTCTCGCGCATGACTGTGTTAATCTCCGATTTACTGTTGACTCTTCATAGTCAAATGACCGGTCCAATAGTGGATGAAAAAACGTAACAGATATTTTTTAGAGGGCCATTAGCATCATTAATAACATGGTGAGGGGTAGTTTAGTGGGCCGTAGGTTGACTCTACTCAAAATATGGACTTAAGTTAGCTGGGCTAACTAAGACTTAGCCCAATTCTCCAGACTGGTAAGTGGTAAGATAATAAAATTATAAGAAACCACTAAGACTTAGCCCAATTCTCCAATAACAAAATGCATATATAGGGTTTCTACATATAATGCAATCGTATACAATAATACAAGTCGATCACAAAAATCATTATCATAAGAAGTTGAAAAGTACTTTTCAGTTAAGCACATGGCCAGGTAGCTTCATACCGAGTTGTCGCTCTATTATACGCATTATTATTGGTTTGTTCAGCTACGTTGTTGTTTAATTATGTATCAAATAACATTTAATAATAATCGAGATGACATTTAGTTTTAAATAAGTGCGCCAAGCACTAAAATATCTTATATTGGCTCGAATAGATGACTTCGCGCATCCCGAATATAATCTATCAACTTGTGAAATAAAGAGAGTTGATATAGAGCCAAAAAAAAACGTCCACATACATAAATAGACAATAAACTATTATGTATCTGAAAGAAAGAAAAACAAACTTGTTACTTGTGGACCCTGCGGTTACTTTTGTGGTTGTGCATTTTTTGCCAAAGTTATTAGATGGTTAAGAAATTTTTGTTTTCCTTTACTAATGCAAAATTGAAGCTCACATTGCAAGAAAACTTAAATATTACTAGTATAGATGGTGGTAAACATAATCAACTTAATTTGCATTTTTTTTTAAAAAAAAAGGAAAGAAGTAAAGAATAATCAGCGTCCGTGGAACTTGGAGTACACACAAAACATTACTCTCCCACCAAGTCCTCGAAACAAAGTGTAGTATAGTCCCTACCTTAACTACACAATTAAATAAAGCGCCATATAACAAACGTCAATTATATTACTAATTTCGTAAAAGGTAATTATTGCTAAGTCATTCATTCATCATAAAATAACTAAACAAAGTTGAATTTCCACTCATCCATTATTACTAGAAACTTATGCGTATTGTGCGGGTCATACATGATAAAAACTAACTTTAAAAAGGTTAAATTCCATTCGTTCAATACTATTAAAATCGTTAATCTGTGTCGGTTAGTATCTATCAACCATAATTTACAGTTACCTTTTCTTTTTAATACAATTGTTGAATTTTCTTCGACATTTTTTATCCCCACACTAGCAATAAACTTTGTTTACCAAAAAAAAAAACTTGATTTACAAGGATAAAGTTACAATTCTCTTGTACATTTTGCGTTGACACTGTAAAAACACAACAAATTATAGGGCGGTAATTAATTTAAAAGGAGACAAACGTTCTTTACCTACATAATTTTCTAAGAAGATAAATCAGATTGAATAATTAAAACGGATAGATTGTTTTTTTAGTTAAGATGGAGCTAATAATAAAATTGTTTATATACAAATTATCTTTGCAACTCACGAAACAATGATCTATCTCATCTAATCAACTGTAAATTAGAATTTGTGAATGGTGGTAAATGAAAGTTGGACTAATCCAAAGTTCAAAACACATGACAAGGAATGTGTTACGCACAAAATCGTATTGTAGGCTTTGTTGGGATATCTGTCTTCTAGAAGTCCTATCCTAACCGACACGTCCTTCACAGACACTTTTGTCTCTTTTTCTGAACACTAGTGCGACCATAAACGTAATAAATATTTCAGCAAAGAAAATGCTTCTAGAAACGCGTTGATATTTATTTGTCGATGCGTTTTGTTTTTCTTCAAGATACTTTTTTTTTGCTCTCTTAATTATCAGCCGTTGATCTGCTGGGCACGATTTCTTCTAGAAGCACTTTAAAAAAAAAAGGCGAATATGTTTAGCAATTAGTTTTATAATCAATGGAGATGACATACTTCTGAAAGTATACATATATAAACACTATTCTCACATTTAAATTAATGGTTAGAGTTGACTGTTCAAAAAACACTTCCTATCATTTAATTTAATCACCGGTTTTAAAACTCATATAAACATGTAGTATAATAAAAATTTTAAAAAGTATTCTATAATTTGGATAACAATAATATAAGAGAATACACAGCTGTATGACATGTCATTATTTCAATCTTAGTGAGCCGATCAAATAAGCTGAGCCGAGAAGAGAAAAAGGATTCTAGAAGGCCAATCTTTTGAACTGGATGACACGTCATCGCTCCATAGAATTTTCAGAAAACAGGTGACTGCCACTCCCACGGGTTTTACCTTTCTTTTTTCCTTCGTTTTCGCTCCTTTCAATTACTCTATTTGCATTTTAACCCCATAACTTTACTTCTTTTGAACAAATTCAACTAATATCTGCATCTATTTGGTAGTCGTATTATATTATTAATCGAATCAGATTTCTCAAGGAAAATAACTTCAATAGTATAGATATTTGCAATCAAACATTCGCACACGGATTTAAACACGATTTTGAAACAGTGGATTTTAATAAGAAAGTTAAATTAAATAATTAGCAGATTCTAAAACCAAGGGACATATCTCTGAATAGAATAATACCAATTAAAATATTAATATATAATAACGAATATTCTAAATTACCAAATCAAAATTATTTTTGGCTTTGGGACAATCTTTAGTTTACTTTATATATATGGGTCATTTCTCAATCCCTTTTGTGATTCATATCTACTTCTCCCGACAAACCTCTCTGCTTCTACAATTTTCACGATTTCTTCCGAATTTGCCCTTCCAATTTCAATTTCATTTTGTAAATGTCCGGAACCCTAGTTTATTCCGCCGCTAACTCCCTTCGATTCTCACCGGGAATTAGCCTTCCTCAGTCGAAAACAGCCAGATCCCACAGCGCAACCGCGCGGTTTCCCACCGGAGCTACGTCGTTTAGGGCTTCCGCGCAGACGCTCAACGCCGAGCCGGCTGTAACGGAATCCGTTCGTCGGCGAGTGTCGAGCCTCTACGAACTGCTGAAAGTAAATGAAACGGCGTCGCTGACGGAGATTAAGACGGCGTATCGGAGCTTGGCGAAGGTGTACCATCCGGATGCCTCGGAATCAGACGGACGAGATTTCATGGAGATCCACAAAGCTTACGCGACACTGGCGGATCCGACAACCAGAGCGATTTACGACTCTACGCTGGGAGCAAGACGGAGACGGGTGCACACTGGGGCTATGGGTCGGGCGGGTCGAGTGTACGCGACGACCCGGAGATGGGAGACGGATCAGTGTTGGTAATTTTGTCTTTAGGCTTCTAATGATTTTGCAGCAGCGAAAGGCCACTTTTTGACTTCATTTTTCCCCTTTCATTACATTTTTTTTTTCCATGTAATCTTTTGGAAAATTAAGGGGATTATAAGTTTTATCAGCCTTTATTTTAAAAAATCAAAAGTTTACAGTGTATGCCGAAAAGAAAAGAACAATGTATAGCGGAAGTTATGAATAGAGAGATGTATATTATTAATTATCTTTTCGTATATCGGATCGGTTAATCTCCAGTTTTCAGGTATTTACGAAGAATTTTACAGTCCACTAATTTTAACAAGTAACCATACTTTTTCTTTGTTCTTGATGAATAATTCCGGGTAAGAAAATTCTCGTGACAGATGTTAACAACTGTTGGCAATTTGAAGGATTTTTGCTCCTACAGTTTCTGAGATTTTTAGTACTGTTTGTTTGACTAAAGTACAGCAAGCGACTGTTTTCTTTTTGATATTTGTAGACAACTTTCGGTTCACCATAGTGATAATATAACCTTTCGGAGCTAATAAATTGTTTTGTCGTTATGATAAGTTTGTAGATATTTTATCACAATTTATTAATACACAAACACTCTGTAAAAAACAGAAACATAAATAAATACCTGCCTGTGGTTTAAAAGAAACTGTGGTTCACAAAGACTACGAGAAGAAATAGTGACAATCATACCTGTGAAGAGGAATAAAGACAACAGATACGTTTTTACAGCTTAAACCAGAACATCGGTTTGGCTTTGAGTCTTTTGAGATATGATCTTTCTTGAGGAGAAGAGAGGTATATGAAACAACCAGATTTTAACATTTAAAGGAAAAATGGAAACTTATAGCTTAAATTCAAACATTAAAAAAACAAAATAGAACTCAAACCCAAAACGTATGTATGTGAAAACAACCAGATTTTACATTTAAAAGGAAAACGAAAATTGGAAATACAAAATTAAAACCAAAAATGAAAAGATTAATCAAAATCTAACAAGAGTAGAGGTACAGAGAAGAGTGGAGATTCTTGTATTCCTATGTTTTATAGCAAACGAACAAGAAGAGATAGAAAGAGCGAGATTATCATTTGCAGCTCATAAGCATGGAGTTGATGACGTGCATTATAAGCCTGATAGCAGAGACGTCACTGCCCGGTGCGTTACGGTGGTGATGCAGAATCTGATAGACTTGTTCTAAGATTGGGCGAGCGTGGACCGCAATCATCTGATCCGATGGGTTTATGGCTGTGACCACATCAGTCATCCAAGCAAGCTTACGGGACGTGTCCTTGCTGATGTCGCAGGATAGCTGTTGTAACAGCGACAGAAGCACGCCTTGGCTCAGCGGAAGCGGATTCATAGCCAATAGTCCACGAAGATCCACCTGAAATGGCACAAACCAAAGTCATGACATCTTATGTGGCTATGAGATCTTGATAGAAAAGCCTAATCGAAACAAAATTTCACCTGTGAGCAAAGCCATGAAACTATAGAGACGTCGCTTCTCTGTAGAGCCGAAGTGAAAGATTCTTCGTACTTGCGTTCAGATATCAACCTTGATAGTTCTGTTGTAGGGTCCAAAGGTGCTTCAACCTGAAAGGATATATGTTATGATTCTCAAAACTCTGAACCAGACTCTCCTTATTCTTCACTCTCTGACTCAACACAAAAGACCAACAGAGAGCAAACTCAAGGCACCCTAAACTCTCCTAAGCCCAAGACAAGAACCTAGATCAATCCAGAATGCTCAACCCTTCTGGCTAACCGACTCAACTACGATTGCTGAGCAGTTACAAGCCACCTAGGGCAACTACAATTCTCCTGCACGAGACTAACACAAGGTATATCAGATTCATAGTTTAGATTGGTTCCACGGATGTACAGACCTTTTCAAGAAGAGCACCCAAAGGTCCGCTACTTCGTTGAGAAATCAAGGGATTTGACCCCCCTGAATTTGCTCCAGCAGCTGCAAGAGCTAAGAGGTTCCTTTGGCTCTCGGCTAATTCACGACTTAAGGCTTGTGCAACTGACGACGTAGAAGTAATGGTTTCCTGTAGAAAGAGTAGCGACATTAGAAAGAGGAAAGAAATGAATGATTTTTGCAACCATAACAGTGCGAGAAAAAGGATAGTTTTCAATCATACCCTTAGAGTATGGGCAAGCTGTGAGTGTCCAGAGTCAAACCATTGCTGGGCTGCGTTTGTGTGCTCAGCGATCCCCTTCTGGAAGGCTGAGTCTAATTGGTCGAACATGGTCTTGCATGACCTCTCAAACGAAGGTATGACTGAGGACTCCAGACTCGACCTAAGAGTCTCCTGAAATTTATAAATGGCAGTAATATACAATACATCAACCCCTTTTCTTCGTTTATTTACGTTTATAAAGCACATAAAACTAATTTAAATTTAATTTTTTACCTGGAGGGCTTGCCTGCCAGAGGTCTGAAATTGGGCTTGAATTTGCCTAGCTATGGTTGTTTCAAGTTTTGAATTAACAGACTTCTCAAGCTGATTGACTGCTTTGTCACCAATCCCTCTCTGTACAATACAGAAAGCAGTTTTCTTTATCAACAACGGATCTTCTCATGGATCAGCTATAAATTTCTCGTAAATTACTACTAACCTGGAAAGACTCCGTGATTGCAGAAGATACAGTTTTTTCAACAGCTGGTGTTACTACACGTGCTATGGCTGGACCAATTGCAGCAAATTCCTTCTTAATCGTTTTCTCAAACATGGCATTTAACTCCTTGCTCATGAAGTTCGTCGTTGCATTCACAATTTGTTGGGCATGGTCATGCAATGCCTTTTCATTCTTAACAGTCTCCTCTTGGAAACGTGCCCAGAGAGCATCAGAATTTGACTTGCAGGATCTCTCAATCATTCGCCCTAAAGCCACTTCTAGTCTTTTACCTTCTTTTATGATAGGGCCATTGACAGCATTTGATAGTTGTCTCTGCATCTCCTTCTGTGAAACCATTATCTGGAAGGGAAAAAAGGGACTGTCTTTAAAGAAAAGTAATAACCTGATCTAATAGCGTATGTGATAAAATGATGCAAAATATAAAACCAGAGATTGCTAAGCAATCGTATACATTAAAATGTCACCTGATTCATTGTTTCTTGCATAGCTAAGATCTGGGGAAGTGAATCTGTTATTGGTTGACTTAAGCTCTGACTTTGCTCGTTGTAGGAGTCAGCCAGGTTGGCAACATTTGATGATGTAGATGACAGTCCAGGACCCTGCGAGTTTTTGGCCTTTTGTTTTTTCCCTTTGCTATTTGAAGCTGACGACTGTGGAAGCCCACTAGATGAAACCGAATCAGGAAGCTTTGCAGACACAGCTCTTGAGTCAAGACCACTTTCATCCCCAGCTTGTGATTTTTTTCCATAAGCCTTAGATTCCTCAGGAATGAAAGTTTCCTCTGTACTTTGATAGCAATCCCTAGCTATCTCAGTGCTGAGATTCGAAGCCTGTGAGCAGAAGATGTTTTCTCTATTTTCTGAAGTGCGATGCTCAGTTTCGTCATGATAATTGATTTCACCATTCTGCATGGACCTTGCTTCACCTACTTCTTTTACCTCAACTTGTGTGCTACTTGCATCAATATCCACGTCCTGAATTCTTGCATCTCTATCCCTCTTGTCTTCAGCAGAAGAAATGTCCGTCAAAAAATCTGCAGGAGTTACAAGATGGTGTTTGTAAAAAGGTGTCGGGCTTCGCATACCAGAGACATCATCATCAGGTGTCGCATTCTTGTCTTTGCTTCTTGAGCTTTCCTCCACAGATAATACATCCATTTGCCTATCAATAGAATAATCAGCAGAAGGTGCTTTGCCAGCGAGCTCATGTTGAGGTAGTATTGGCTCAATAGCATCTGCAGGAGTCTGAAAGCCAGAAAGTTTTCTTGATAGTGTGGGACTTTGTGAAGTAGCATACGCAGAACCTGCACCACTGGTCTCAGATGGCAGCCCAGAAGTTTTAGGTTCACTGTTGGGTAAAACAACTGCTTGTGATGTGGTCTCTGCTGATGCCAAAGTCGCTGGAAAACTCAACCTATTAGCACTATCCGATCTATTCACTAGAATAGATGGTATAGGTACTAAATCAACCGAAGGTAATTCTGTAGGCTTAAATCCAGATGATTCTGACGTGCCTTCAGCAACAATTGTCTCTCGCGATACACTAGAATCTGACTTCTCCAGACTTACATTCTCTATAGGAGGTGGCAAGCATAAGCATAAGTCTAATGTATACTGCTGGATTGCTTGAGTCTGAACACAATAAACCTTAACAATGGGTTCCTCTGGAGGATCATTTGTCCCTATAAAACTCAGTATAGGCATAGTCACTGTAAACTCCGACAAGTAATCCATCCGTGTATCAACTGGACAAGAGCCATAGTCCAAATGCACGGCATATATGGCGTTCCTTTTCGCATTTGCCAGTAAAAGAAGGCCTGCTTCAGACAATGCTATGAATTGGTTGAAAAATGCCGCTTCATCTCGTGGCTCGGTTGAACTTTTCAAGTCAAGTGTCTGGGTACACTTCCATGACTCAGAATCATCTGGTAGGAGCCACCCTTCTTCCCCAGCTGAGACCCAAATTTTTATTTCTCGATTTAGAGGACCCTGCGTTAAAAACAGTGACAACATGACATTATTAACAACTCAGAAGAAAGCAAAGCTACGAAATAAAATGTGAACTCATCACAGCATGGCCATTTAACTTAGATAGGGGTGAGAAAAGTTGATGATATTGATTCAAGAAAACTACCCCCGTGATAAGTATGGTGTGATCAGGTCTCTCAGGGGATGTCACAAATGTGGCTGAATTGACCGGATGACCATCATGAGGTCTCAAAACTGCAATTGGTTGTGCCTTCCGATCTTGCCATATCTTTACCTGTAGGTATTATTAGGAAAGAAGAAGTGAGACACGCACACAAAAAATACTAGCTGTTGCAAATTGTGTCCTGGTTAGAAGAAGCGATACGCAGTGTAAGTTTCAGATAATAGTTAGCAAACATTCCAAAGTTACAATGTGCTAGAATAGCAAATTGAATGTCAAATGCACTAGTTTAAACTTGAATTCTTTAGATTGAATCGTTTTCAGAAAAGTTTAAAGAAAATAGATGAAGGAAACAGGAAGACTCGAGTGAAGCAGAATGATAAGAACAAATACAAACCATGCCATCAACGGAAGAAGAAACCAGGCGTGTGGTCATCCATTGGCACATTGACAAATCCGTAATTTCTCCATCATGTTTCCCCACAATTTGGACACCATCAATCAGTTTATCAAGGGGACACTGGAGAGGTGCCTCAGCAGAGAATACTTCACCTCTGCCAACTTTGGTGGTATCAATTTGTAGCACATGTTTACCAATAGAAACTACCAAAATTTCCTGAAAATATGAATTTAGGCAATCAGTAGCATATACACAGCATAGAGTACATTGGCAAGGGAAACTTCTTTTGAGAAGAAGCACATGCAACTTAAGATATATGTTCAGCTACCTGTTTGTGGAAGTGCCAACACACACGTGGATGTTTGGTGTCTTCCTCTCCTAGTATCTGAAGAGCAAGAACTATCTTCCCGGTGATCTGAGGCTGATCATCTCCTTCAGATCCTTCAGAAATGTTCCACACGAAGACTTTCCCGTCTAAGCTTACGCTGTTGAAGAAACAGAAAAGTAAATAAATGCAAACCACAAAGCAGAAGAAGCTCTACTTGAAGAACTGAATGCGACCCTATTTACACAACAGTTCCAGAAGATTACCTAGCCAATAGATGAACATCCTCAGCGAAGAAAGCCATGTCCGTCACTCGCTGGACACAAACACGGAGTTTAGAACAAACTTATCATGCTAATGGCGAATAACGCCGATCAAACCATAAGGGTACTACAATAAGTATTCACAAATTGCAGAGTATAAATTCACAAATGAACAAGTTGAAGAACAACCTGAGAATGGCCTCGGAATAAAGCCCTCAGTGCGGTGTTTATGTTGAGAACCCGAATGTTTCCGCCTTTCAAACCGTAGCATATGTAGACCTTATTCACGGCGATCTGCCGACCCACTACGAGCTGAGGGTCCGACCCGTATTTGGTAATAGGAGTCACCTCCAGCTGTGGCTGAATCTCTCCATGTAATCTCACGTCCACATCGTACACCGCGTGTTCACCAACCAATCGCCTTCCCTTGGGAAGCTTACAGCTCGGGATACGAATAGGAAGCGAACCTCCAGGGAACGACCGAGCGTTCTCGTGCGGATTCACTGCCGGGAGCTGATGCGACGGATCTTGGTTGGCCACGGGGCCTTCCCTGCCGCCTCCGCCATTGTTATTGTTGAGGAGAGCGAGGATGTGCGTTCCGGGATTGTGATTGGAACGGGGCGATTGGAGATTTAGAGGTGGCGTGGGATAAGATAGTGTTCTTTGTGGGTGCAGGTTAGTCGCCGAGGACGGGGAAGGCGCATCCTGTTGCTGATGCTGCGTCTGAGTCACCGGCGATGGTTGGGCAGGGATACCCGGCGGAGCGAAAAGCTGCGGATTGTACTGGTTGTGTAGAAATGGACCTGTGGGCGGAGGATAAGATGCCGGCGGCGGAGGATAAGGGTTTGATGAGGTTTTGAAGATATTACTGAGATCAAACGGAGGAGGATTGAGAGGGTTACTATTACCAGGTGAAGACGCCATGGAATTCGCAGATTCAAGATCGCCGGAGCTAGGGTTTGCGAAACCGATCAATAAAGAGGTGTAAATCAATACAGAGCCCCTTGAAAAAATTCCACAAAAATAAGAAGACTCGTCGGATCTGATAGTCACAGAGAGAGAGGGAGAGAGAGAGAGAGAGAGAGAGAAGCGAAGAGCGAGAATAGAGACGATGATGACTTGAAAGTGAGAACAGGAAGAGAACTTTTGGAGATAGTTTATTTTTTAATGAAAAATTAAATGAGGCATATGATCCAGATCAGGAAAAGTTATAATCGTGTATATGAGAAAAATATGAGGATGGGTTCTGTATTTATTTTTACTCCGTGCAATTTTTGTTTGGGGCTTTTCTTTCCATTATTGTACCTTATTAAAATCAGCCCACGTAAGCCCGAATCATTCCTTTGGGGTTCTCTCACTTGCCAAAAACTCGCCACCACGACTTGTTGAAGTGCTTGATTCATGTGTTACTTGTTTTGCAACTCTGTCTTAGAGAGTGAAAGAAACTTCAAAGTTCATTTGACCGTGGTAAACGCATCAAAACGAAGATCTTAAGGAAGTAAACCAAACACTATAATTTTGCCATGTAAATCTTCGATTTCTCTGTTTAATGTTGAGCAGATTCACCTAATGAATGTCTTCCTACTCGATCTGATCAATTTTAAAAGGAAAACATAGCAAAGAAGAATATTTATTTACTCCCCTTTGGACTACATGTAACCTTTCGTGTTGCTTCATGATCAATTTTATTTTAAAAAATCTATAGAATGCCTGATCATGGTTTTTTAAGCCTTACTGCACTCAGCAACACGAAGTTCTTCGTCCACTAAAGCCTTCTCAACAATTTAGACGTAGAAAGAGAGATTTTACATTTAAAAGAAAAATGAAAAGTAAAAAATCTAAAAAAAAAGTAGACCGGAGAAACTATTTGATTCCCTATGCTTTGTGAACACAAAGAGACAACGAGACCAGGGAGTTGTCATTTGCAACTAAGAAGCATGGAGTTGATGACGTGCATTATAAGTCTGATGGCAGAGGCGTCGCTGCCCGATGCGTTACGCTGGTGGTGCAGAATCTGATAGACTTGTTCAAAGATTGGCCGAGCGTGGGCCGCAATCATCTGGTCTGATGGGTTTATGGCTCCAACCACATCAGTCATCCAAGCAAGCTTACGGGATGTGTCCTTGCTGATGTCGCAGGATAGCTGTTGTAGCAGCGACAGAAGCACGCCTTGGCTCAGCGGAAGCGGACTCATAGCCAATAGTCCACGAAGATCCACCTGGTTAGGCACATCAAGCACATTAGGAATAACAAGTTGATGGTCATGTCATCTTTAAGATTAGGAAAAATCCAAACTGAAGTTTTACCTGTGAGCAAAGCCATGAAACTATAGAGACGTCGCTTCTGTGTAGAGCCGAGGTAAAAGATTCTTGGTACTTGCGTTCAGATATCAACCTGGATAGTTCAGATGTTGGGTCCATTGGTGCCTCAACCTGAAACGACAGGCATTGCCATTGTACGAATATATATACTTGTCAAAACTCAGAAAGAGACAACTTCAGTCTGGGATTCATGGTTAGTGATTTATTCCAGGATGTGCAAACCTTTTCAACAAACGCAGCTAACGGTCCGTTACTTAGTTGAGTAACCAAGGGATTTGGTGGGTTTGATCCAGCAGCTGTGAGAGATAAGCGATTCCTTTGACTCTCGGCTAATTCACGACTTAGGGCTTGACCAACTGATGAGGCAGAAGTAATGGTTTCCTGTAAAAATCGAGCAGCAAGTTTGGCATAATGTAAAAGACTGTATTTTGAATATTTATTTGGAGATTAGCCAAAGAAACCGGAAGGAAGATTTTCCATTATACCCTCAGAGTATGAGCAAGCTGCGAGTGTCTGGATTCAAACTGTTGCTGGGCTGCGCTCGTGTGCTCAGCAATCCCTTTCTGGAAGGCTGACTCTATTTGCTCAAACATTGTCTTGCATGAACTCTCAAAGGAAGGCATGACTGAGGACTCCATGCTCGAGCTAAGAGTATCCTGAATTTTATAAATTGTAGAATAAATCAGAGAACAACCTCCTTTTTCAACTAAAAAGATGGTGCAGCTGAGATTGACGTGTACATAAAATAAATTTTATACCTGGAGGGCTTGTCTGCCAGAGGTCTGAAATTGGAGTTGAATTTGCCTAGCGATGGTTGTTTCAAGTTTTGACATGACAGACTTTTCAAGCTGATTGACTGTTTTGTCACCAATTCCTCTCTGTGTACAAAAGAGAAAGCAGTTTTGTTTATCAGCAACGGATCTTTTCATGAATCAGTTCTATTTTTTTCGAAAATTACTAACCTGGAAGGACTCTGTGATTGCAGAAGAAACAGTTTTTTCAATTGATGGCGTTACTGCACGTGCTAGGGCTGGACCCATTGCAGCAAATTCCTTCTTTATCGCTTTCTCAAACATGGTACTTAACTCCTTGCTCATGAAGTTCGTCGTTGCATTCACAATTTGTTGGGCATGGTCATCCAATGCCTTTTCATTCTTAACAGTCTCCCCTTGGATACGGGCCCAGAGAGCATCCGCATTTGACTTGCAGGTTCTCTCAATCATTCGCCCTAAAGCCACTTCTAGTCTTTTACCTTCTTTAATGATAGGGCCATTCACAGCATTTGATAGTTGTCTCTGCATCTCCTTCTGCGAAGCAATTATCTGGAAAGGAAATAATGTTTTAAGTCAACAAATTTTTAGTTTTAAAAAAGAAAGTAGTATCCTGTACTCAATAAATGCCAGTAAAAGATACTGTAATATGCCAAATGAAGGTAGCAACAAGTTTAATAGCATATCTGTGAAATGATACAAGAGTATAAAAACAGATACCGTTATGCAATAGGGTACTCCTATGTTTTCAGGATCAACATGTCACCTGATTCATTGTTTCTTGCATAGCTAAGATTTGGGGAAGTGAATCTGTTATTGGTTGACTTAAGCTCAGACTTTGCTCGTTGTAGGAGTCAATCAGGGTGGCAACATTTGAGGATGTAGATGTCAAACCGGGACCCTGTGAACTTTTGGTCTTCTGTTTCTTCACTTTGCTATTTGTAGCTGCCGATTGTGGAAGCCCACTAGATGAAACCGGCTCAGGAAGCTTTGAAGACACAGCTCTTGAGCCAAGACCACTTTCATCTCCAGCTTGTAAAGATTGTCCATAAGCCATAGACTCCTCCGGAATGAAACTTTCCTCTGTATTAGGATGACGGTCTCCTGCCATCTCCATGCTGAGATTCGAGGCCTGTGAGCAAAAGATTTTTGCTCTATTTTCTGAAGCGTGATTCGCAGTTTCTTCATGATAGTTAATTTCCCCATTCTGTGTCGAGCCTGCTTCGCCTATTTCTTTCACCTCGACTTCAGTGCCTACTGCATCATCATTAACATCCTGAATAATTGCATCTCTATCTCTCTTCTCTACAGTAGTTGTAATGGAGGCCTCAGTGGACGAAGCGCCCTTAAATATCTCTGAAGGAGTTATAAGATGATAGGGGAATTTCAAAGGTGGAGGGCTTCGAGTACCAGACACATCATCATCAGGTGTAACATTCTTGTCCTTGCTTCTTGAGCTTTCCTCTACGGGAGACGCATCCGAATTTCTTTCTCTAACAGTATCAATTTGCCTATCAACAGAATAATCAGCAGAAGGTGCTTTGCCAGCGAGCTCACGACGAGGTACTACTTGCTCCAAATCATCTACAGGAGTGTGATAGCCAGAAAGTTTACTCGACGGTCTGGGACTTAGAGGAAGCTGGGGTGAAGGAGCATACGCAGAACCTGCATCACTGGTCTCTGATGGCAGCCCAGAAGTTTTTGGCACACCATTGTATAGAACAATTGCTGGTGATGTGGTATCCGCTAATGCAGAATCCGCTGGAAAGCTCGATGTGTTAGCACTTTCCGATCTATTCACCAGAGTAGATGGTTTAGGTTCTGACGTGCCTTCAACAAGATTTGCGTCCCCCAGCAAACTAGAATCTGACTTCTCCAAGCCCACATTTTCTATAGGAGGTGGCAAGCACAAGCATAAGTCTAAAGTATACTGCTGGATTGCTAGAGTCTGAACACAATAAACCTTAACAATGGGTTCCTCTGGAGGATCATTTGTCCCAATAAAACTCAGTATAGGCATAGTCACTGCAAACTCTGACAAGTAATCCATCCGTGTATCAACTGGACAAGAGCCATAGTCCAAATGCACGGCATATATGGCGTTCCTTTTCGCATTTGCCAGTAAAAGAAGGCCTGCTTCAGACAATGCTATGACTTGGTTGAAAAATGCCGCTTCATCTCGTGGCTCGGTTGAACTTTTCAAGTCAAGTGTCTGGGTACACTTCCATGACTCAGAATCACCTGGTAGGAGCCACCCTTCTTCCCCAGCTGAGACCCAAATCTTTATTTCTCGATTTAGAGGACCCTGCGTGGAAAACAGTGACAACACTGACATTATTAACAACTTAGAAGAAAGCGAAGCTACGAAATAAAATGTGAACTCAACACAGCATGGCCATTTGAGTTAGATAGGGGTGAGAAAAGTTGGTGATATTGATTCAAGAAAACTACCCCCGTGATAAGTATGGTGTGATCAGGTCTCTCAGAGGATGTCACAAATGTGGCTGAATTGACCGGATGACCATCATGAGGTCTCAAAACTGCAACTGGTTGTGCCCTCCGATCGTGCCATATCTTAACCTGTAGGTTTTATGAGGAAAGTGAGACACACGCACACAAAAATACACAGTGCAAATCTGAGATGAAATTAGCAAACATTCCAAAAGTAAAATGTGCTAGAATAGTAATTGAATGTCAAATGCACTAGTTTAAACTTGAATTATTTAGATTGATTCGTTTTCAGAAAAGTTTTAAGAAAATAGATGAAGGAAACAAGAAGACACGAGTGAAGCAGAATGATAAGAACAAATACAAACCGTGCCATCAACGGAAGAAGAAACCAGGCGTGTGGTCATCCATTGGCACATTGACAAATCCGTAACTTCTCCATCATGTTTCCCCACAATTTGGACACCATCAATCAGTTTATCAAGGGGACACTGGAGAGGTGCCTCAGCAGAGAATACTTCACCTCTGCCAACTTTGGTAGTATCAATTTGTAGCACATGTTTACCAATAGAAACTACCAAAATTTCCTGAAAATATGAAATTAGGCAATCAGTAGTCTAGACACAGCATAGAGTACATTTGAAACGGAAACTTCTTTTGAGAAGAAGCATATGCAACTTAAAGATATATGTTCAGCTACCTGCTTGTGGAAGTGCCAACACACACGTGGATGTTTGGTGTCTTCCTCTCCTAGTATCTGAAGAGCAAGAACTATCTTCCCGGTGATCTGAGGCTGATCATCTCCTTCAGATCCTTCAGAAATGTTCCACACGAAGACCTTCCCGTCTAAGCTTACGCTGTTGAAGAAATAGAAAAGTAAATAAATGCAAACCACAGAGCAGAAGAAGCTATTCTTGAAGAATTGCATGCGACCCTATTTACACAACAGTTCCAGAAGATTACCTAGCCAATAGATGAACATCCTCAGCGAAGAAGGCCATGTCCGTCACTCGCTGGACACAAACACGGAGTTAGAACTTGTGGGGGAAAAAACGAACTTATCATGCTAATGGCGAATAACGCCAATCAAACCATTAAGGGTACTACAATAAGTATTCACAAATAGCAGAGTATAAATATACAAATGAACAAGTTGAAGAACAACCTGAGAATGGCCTCGGAATAAAGCCCTCAGTGCGGTGTTTATATTGAGAACCCGAATGTTTCCGCCTTTCAAACCGTAGCATATGTAGACCTTATTCACGGCGATCTGCCGACCCACTACGAGCTGAGGATCCGACCCGTATTTGGTAATCGGAGTCACCTCCAGCTGTGGCTGAATCTCTCCATGTAATCTCACGTCCACATCGTACACCGCGTGTTCACCAACCAATCGCCTTCCCTTGGGAAGCTTACAGCTCGGGATACGAATAGGAAGCGAACCGCCAGGGAGCTGATGCGACGGCTCTTGGACGGCAACGGCGCCGTCCCTGCCGCCTCCGCCATTATTATTGTTGAGGAGAGCGAGGATCTGCGTTCCGGGATTGTGGTTGGAACGGGGCGATTGGAGATTTAGAGGTGGCGTGGGATAAGATAGTGTTCTCTGTGGGTGCAGGTTAGCCGCGGAGGACGGGGAAGGCACATATTGTTGCTGATCTTGCGTCTGAGTCACCGGCGATGGTTGGACGGCGATACCCGGCGGAGCGTAGAGCTGCTGATTGTACTGGTTGTGTAGAGAAGGACCTGTGGGCGGAGGATAAGATGCCGACGGCGGAGGAGAAGGGCTCGATGAGGGTTTAAAGAAATTACTGAGATCAAACGGAGGTGGATTGAGAGGGTTACTATTACCAGGTGAAGACGCCATGGAATTCGAAGATTTTAAGATCGCCGGAGCTAGGGTTTGCGAAACCGATCAATAAAGATGTGTAATAGTGTAATTTGTAAATCAATACAGAGCTCTCTGAAAAGATTTCGCAAAAATAAGACTCGTCGGATCTAGAGAGAAAGAGAGGGCGCGAAAAGCATCAATAGAGACGAGAGAGAGACGATTATGACTTGAAAGTGAGAAGAGCTTAAGAACTTTTGGAGACTTGCTTTTTTTTAATCGGTGAAAAAAGTGATGGAGAGAGGCAAACACATATTTATTCAAAGTTTGGGGACGCTTGTTTATAAATTTTAAATTTTAATGATTCCTATTTATTAGGCTTTACAACTTAATCCCGAATCATTCGCAGATTATGATGAGTCTACGACATAACAGTAAACAAAATTCTTACTCCCCACAACATACAGACGTGATAATTTACTCAAATCATTCTATATTTGTAATTGCTCAATTTCTCTTTTTACTACTACACAGATTTAACTAATGTTTTCAAACTCAAATGTATTATCTGGAGAGACAAACTCATATTTATTCAATGTCTGAGGAATAGATACTTCTTTATAAAATTTTAGATTTTGATGTTTCCGGTTTCTTCGACTCTACAACGTAATTCCGAATCATTCGCTCTGATGATTATGATAAGTCTACAACTTAACATCATATTTTTTTTTCATACCCACTACAACATATTAAAGTGATTATTATTAATACATACTTTTACTCAAACTAGCATTTTTCATCTGTAATTGCTCAAATTGTCTTTTTATTACAGAACAGATTTAAGTGATAATTTCAAATTCAAATGTATAAGTAATATCATTATACGATTCTGTTGATTGTAAGAGGAAGACAAAAAAAAATGTATATTTAGATATGTTTCAAGATCAATATATACATGGTTTCATGTTTCATCAAGGTTCTCAAGATCCGATACCAAGCCAAGTGAACTCATCAATACAAAGTCCTTCATCATGAGCTTTTTTCCTTACCGAGTCATGGCATCAAGATGACAAGATGTCATGCACCAGATTAAACGTTTGCCCATAACCTACACGGTAGGCCCAATATAATCTTTGAAATCACTAATGGGCCTAATCAGTCTTTATAATAGAATAACTAAATCCTACTAATGATAGAGATTACCAAGAGAAACCATAAATGAGAAAGAAAAGGAATTAAGGAGACCGTTGTCTCCAGACTGTTTAGGATTTTGATTAGCTTTAAAAGCAAAGAAATAGGCGTAACGTCCACACGCACCCATCTCTCCTTTATATCTCCTTTTCTTCCCCCACTAAATTTATCCTCTCTACGACGTCTCTCTCTCTCTCTATCACCACGTTTCTCGCCAACAAAACCAACAAACAAACTCTCTCTGCTCTATATTAGAGTTGTTCTACCTAAATCGACGAGGAATCTCTGAATCTCCGGCGACAAATTTCAAACAAAGCGGAAGAGAATCGGAGCAAGAGATAGAAAAGGATGTGTTGCGGACGGATTTGCATGCTGTGCACGTGTTTGCTTCTGGTGGTGATCGCGATTGGGTTTCTATTCGGATTCGGAGTTTTTAAGGATGGATTCCACAAGATCCACGATTCCGTCAATCTCGAATGCGATCCCAGATTTGGCTGCGGCGGAGGTGTTGGCCGTCGCGGTTACGGTTTTCCAGCTCCCGCCGGTTACAACTAGCTCTGATCTGAATCATTTCCCGAATCGGCGGCGTTTGCCTTTGAACGTGCTGGATTCGGATTTGGATATATCGGTTCTTAGGTTTTGATTCTCGTTGTTGTTTTACTTTTCCCCCGATACCTCGCATTGATTCGTTGTGCATTATAATGTTTGGTTAATCAGATTTAGTTTTGATCTTATGATTGATTGATTGATTTTCTTTCCTCTTTTCAATATTGTATTTATTTAGATACATCTAGATCAAAATACGTAACGTCTATCTATACAATTCGTATTCGTTATAATTGTTATCAATTCTATTAAAAACTGATAACATTTAAAAATCAATTATTATAGCTTTTAAGCAAAAAAAAAAATATTCTATTAAAATACAATTCTTATTCTTTTTTTTTTACATTTTTAATTCAATTCTTATTCTTATCTACAGAATAAAGTAGATTCTCATGTGGTAAACCTCAAAAAAAATTATTACTTTCCAAACAAATCTGATTTTTGATTTAAATAGAAAACATTTTCAAGTGGATTATTTTTCCAATTCTTTGTAAAAAAATTAAAAAACTATATAATCCTTAAATGTTAATACAAGAAAATTCATATTCATCATAATTGTTCTAAATTAACGTAGTTTGCAGTTTTTGAGCAAAAAAGATATATTATTAAAAAATCAATTCTTATTTTAATTTATAAAATAAAATAGGATTTTCGATGACAATAAACATAATATTACCGTACAGGGTAAACCTCAATTACAAATATTACTTTATAAATAAATCTGATTTTAGATTTAAATAGAAAACATATTTCAAAAACTGGATTATTTTTCCAACTCTTTGTAAAAAAAAAATAGAAAACTATATAATGCTCAAATGTCAAATCGATTGATGACTTTACTCTTCGGTATATGTTTGGACAAACCAACAGAAAACAAATATAAACGATCCAGTAGGGGTATTTTCGGGGTTTTAGAAAAAGCCATAACGGGGATAGAGCCTCTTGCTGAAAAAGCGGGTTATGTAATTTTATCACGGCTTCTCCCATAAGAAAACAGTGAAAAGAAAAACCCAGAAGTAAAGCCAACTTCGGAAGCCACAGAGATACCAAAGAGGAGACCGAGAAGCCAAACCGACGATTACAAGATGAGGATCACTGTGATGACCGCCGGTGAACAAATCATTACGCTTGATGTCGATTCTCAGGAAACTGTAAGCTTCTTTTCCCAAAAACCCTAACTTTCCCGATTCTTCGCTTCTTAAATTACAATGTACTTCTCGAATTGATCGACGAAAGCCATTGGGTTTAGCAACTTTTCCCTGATTAGCTGACGTTTTGCGGAAGTTCTTATTTTTTCTGATCCTAAGGTTTTGTTTTCTCCTAGGTTGAGAATGTGAAAGCCTTGCTCGAGGTTGAGGTAAGGGATCTCAGATCTCTTTTGTTTATTCTTATTTACAATTGTGTAGCTTGGTATTGTGTATAATTGGATCGAAGCAGCTAAGAACCTGTTGAATTCTGCTAAAGTCTGGGTTTTTGGAACTTAAACTACTTTGTTTTTTTTGCATCAATGAGCAGTCGAATGTTCCGATTCAGCAGCAGCAGCTGTTGTATAATGGAAACGAGATGAGGAATTCCGATAAACTGAGTGCCTTGGGTGTTAAGGACGACGATTTGTTGATGATGGTTTCCAATGCCTCGTCTGGGTACGGTGGACTTGCCTCTCTCGCTGCTCTATTTTGAAATTTTGCAAATGAATCATTCATCAGAGTAACATTCGGTGGTTTTGCTTTGCTTGATTCAGTGGTGCGGCGGCGGGGAGTGATTTGGGAATGAATCCTGATGGGTCAGCTGTGAATCCTGCAGCCTTTCAACAACACATTCGGGGTGATTCTAATATTATGGGACAGCTATTTCAGGTGTGGATTGATAGTAACTTTGAACTTAAGCTTGGAGCACTATGATAATACTTCTTGGCCTGACTATGTTACCTTGGCTTTGATCTTGTGAATTTGTAGACCGATCCTGAGCTTGCACAAGTGATCTCTGGAAGCGATTTAAATAAGTTACAGGATGTTTTGCGTTCACGGCATCGTCAGCGATCTGTATTACAGCGTCAGAAGGAGGAGGAACTCGTAAGCTTTTTTTTCCTAAAAAATATGAGTTTTAAGAAAAACTAGCTTGCTAGCTTCTCAGTTTTTCCACATATTATTAAGTTATCAAAGAATTCTGCTTATGTATTACCCCCCCTTGCAGGCTCTTCTGTATGCAGATCCTTTTGATGTTGAAGCACAGAAGAAAATTGAAGCTGCAATTCGACAGGTTGATGATTCTTACTTAAGTTACATGTACTGAACTCTAGTATGTCTTTCGTCGCAGACAACTCTTTTGTGATTCCCTGAGGCTTGTGTTCTCCTAGTTCCCTTGTTATCTTTTCGTGTCATTTCTGACTTTTGGTCCCGCCTTGATATTTTTGAGCAGAAAGGAATTGATGAGAATTGGGAAGCTGCCCTTGAACATAATCCTGAAGGTTTTGCTCGGGTGGTATGTATGCTCGTGTCTTAGTTCATGCTTCTGAAATTCCGTAGCTTAACTTTCTTGTACACAGACTTGAATTTAATATTTCTAATTTCCTTAGATAATGCTGTATGTGGATATGGAGGTCAATGGCGTACCTCTAAAGGTAAAAATTTGGCGTACGAGAATATTATCTCTTTTCAGCAAACTATCTGTTTTCAATATTTCTCGGTTCCCCAGTGCGCCTAGAGCTCTGTTATGGAGCACTCGTTAGATCATCGTTTATGTTCTAAACCTATATTTGACACCATCTCCAGGCTTTTGTTGATAGTGGTGCACAATCGACAATTATATCCAAGAGTTGTGCTGAGAGATGCGGGTAACTCTTGCATTTGGTTTTGTTCTGGTACTTGTTTTAATATAGAATGATGGAATAACTCACGAGTCTTGTTAAACTTTTACTTTCAGATTGCTGAGACTCATGGATCAACGCTATAAAGGTATTGCTCATGGTGTTGGCCAATCAGAGATATTGGGCCGCATTCATGTTGCTCCAATCAAGGTAAGCATGTTATCAAGCCCTATGTTTTTTTATTTATGTTTCATTAACCATTGCAAAAGAAGTTGAAAATCTCGTGACTTGCAGATTGGGAATAACTTTTACCCGTGTTCGTTCGTGGTGCTGGACTCACCTAACATGGAATTCCTTTTTGGACTTGATATGCTGCGTAAGCATCAGGTAACATCTCCATCATTTGATTTTGAATCTAGTGTTATGTGTTTTCAACCAAAATGTAAAACCGGTTCTCTCTCTTTTTTCTATGTGTAGTGCAGTATAGATTTGAAGGAGAATGTCCTGACTGTCGGAGGGGGAGAGGTCTCGGTTCCCTTTTTGCAAGGCTAGTTCTCTACACTACCATCTCAGTCTTGTAACCCCTTTATTATTGTTTACCGTTATTTTCAATTAACCTGACAAAAATCTGCACTTGCTTCAGAGAAAGACCTCCCTTCCCGATTTCTGGATGAAGAACGCGTTCCGAATCAAGCATCTAGCTCTGGAGCAGCGGTAATATTTTTTTTTTGCATTTTTTGTCCATTATCTTTGGTTTTGATGAAATACAGTTGTTACAATAAGTTGTTATGATGATCAAAATTGTTTTTTTGGTCCTATAGGTTCCTTCTGGGTTTACAGAGAAGAAGAATAACACTGTTGCTAGCCCAATAAGTCAACCTTCAAGGCAAAACACATCAGAGGTAAAAATCTGCACATTTTTATAAGAAAATCCCTTTTCAGACTCCGTTAATCATTTGATCATGGGAACCCACAGGGACCTGAATTTGAAGCCAAGATTGCAAAGCTTGTGGAATTAGGCTTCTCCCGGGAAGCAGTGATACAAGCTCTCAGATTGTTTGAAGGAAACGAAGAACAAGCTGCTGGGTTTCTCTTTGGCGGCTGAAGATTACAAATAAACTGGCCCCATGTACCAAAAGGGCCCAACCAAATTGTGATTCAATCCTCCTTTATTTAGCTTTTTGTATTTTAAATAGCTCTTCCCGGTTGTTTATGAATAAGCAGAGACCAAGGGTTTTACAGAAATACAATTCAAGTGTTTCGTTTGTCATTACTTTATGTACTCTGGAACGGAAAAATTCAATTGCATCAGAGATTTGGTGAAGAAGTTATATAGAAAAACTCAAGAAAGAAATGGTGCTTTTGATGAAATAATCCACTCGAACAAAATCAAGTAATATAAAGTATATAACGTTACAAAATTTCCGGCAGTCAAGAACTATTCAGCTAATCTAGCAGAAACAGATCGGAGCTTGGAGTAAACTTTGCCCGCCGGTGATCCCATAATCAGACTGCAAAGTGAACTCCTCGCAACCTTAATATTAGTGAAAGCTCCCAAGATATGGATCCTAGTGTCTGCAATAACGATCCTCGTCTTGGTCGAGTTCTCGATAGCAAACTTTGTCTTCCCTCCTTTCCCAGACAGTCTCCCGATGGCCCGAGACAAATGCTCGCCTTTCAGAGTCTTGACGTCCTTGATCTCAAACGACTCAACATAGAGCTCGTCCAACCTCAGAAGCGAGATAGCATCTGGGATGTCGAAACCGAGCATGAAGGCGTGCACGAAATCAGCAGACCTCTGGAGATTACTGATGTCGGGAGTGTCGGCTCGTGTTTTGAGCTCGACTTTGCGGGATTTGAGATTCATCCGTATGTCAACCTTCATCTGATCGTAAACCGGTGTGTAGATTTCTAACCATGCCTTCTTGAGTGGAGAGTATCGGTTTGGTGGTACGGCTACTTTCCTGAATTGCACTTTACCATCAGACATCTCGTGAGCTTTCAATGGCTTAAATGTTGGTTTAACCGGCAATGGCACGGCTCCTGTTGCAGTCTCAACCTCCATCTGACTAGTTTCTGCTGCCATTTTATAATCTTCAACAAACTACGAGCTGTATATGAAACATCGATAAGCATCCAAAAGTATGAATTTTTAAAGAGGAATCAAGGTCCCAAAGTAAAAAAAGGCAGATCTAATCACTCAAGCTAGTATCAAATATGTAAGTATGATATTATCCCAGGAATCACACAAAGAAGAAAACAGGACATCAAAATTTATGAATTTATAGCCACTCAATGAACCATATAGATACATATACAACTCGAATTGTTACTCAAATATCTCAAATCCAAACTATCAGAGAAATTATGAAGCAAGTAGGATCAATTCTCAGCTAATAGAGAGAGCTTTTAAGGGGAAGAAATTGAGGAGATTAGAATAAATACCCGACTCTTTGATTGGGATCTGATGGCGGGAGAACGGAGCGACTGAGGAGGTGCTGCTGCTTCGGAGGAAAGGTTTCTTTCGACTGTTGTTGAATGTTTAAGGATTTTAAAGCTTAGGGTTTAGTTATGTCGCCGGACTAAAACGACACCGTCTTACGTCCGCCACCTAATCTGACCTATTGGGTTTTATGAAACCCATTAACCATATCAAATTTTGGACCATGAAGGCCCTATATATAAGGCATGGCCTATTTATTATTCTTTTATTTTTCAACTCCCAGTTAAACTTTTAAAAGAAACAGAGTACAACCAAAAATTCAGATTTCTGAAAACAGATTTATGCAGCATCCACAAAACATATAAATTATGCTTGTGTTGTGTATCTGAGAATATGTATATTTCATTTTGTGTTACAGAAAATATGCTTGTGTATTTATCATATGAACAACAAATATGCTTACTAACTAGATTTTTGTTTATCATATGAACAACAAATTTCGTTTCTTTTCCCTTCAAATTGTGCCTTGAGATTAATTTAAACTTAAAGCAGCATATGTGGGTTGATTAGTAGAATATTCTCTTAAAATTTCTGCTTGGGTTACTAAAAATAGGTACGGTCACGACTCACAAGCTAATAGAAAATGTGGTTTTGACTCATGAAGATCCAAACTTAGAGGTTTTCTTCAGAAATAAGTAATCTATTCATAGTAATTCACAAGGAATCAAAACCTTCGGTTTAGTTAGTTTCACCGAACAATTTCAGGTCAGCAGAAAAATCTTTCCGAATTCTTAAAATCTCCAGAATCAACAATCCAATGATAATCATCATCAACCTGTGCCCAAGCCTGATGCTTTTAAGGCACCATTTACAGATATAGAGATTCAAGAAACAACAACATAGGAAAAATGATTAACCAATCCAGTTCTGTCTCGTTACTCTACGTAGTCGAAATCGCAAACACTACGCAGAACGTAGATGTCACTTGGTCTAAAACCATCTCTTCACATTCCGTGACCATCAAAATCGAAAATCTCAAAAACGAAAACCATAATGATCATCATCATCAGGTAAAGATAGATCTCGCGGGTTCTTCGTTTTGGGCTAAAAAGGGTCTTAAGAGCTTAGAAGCAAACGGGACAAGGGTCGACGTATACTGGGATTTTCGTAAAGCCAAATTCTCCAACTTTCCGGAACCTTCCTCTGGCTTCTACATCTCCCTCGTGTCCCAAAACGCCGTCGTTTTAACGATCGGAGATCTAAAGAAGGAAGCTTTGCAGAGGACGAAGAAAACACCCTCGGCCACTGAAGCTGCCTTGGTTTCCAAGAAAGAGCACGTCCACGGAAAACGGGTTTTCTACACGCGCACTGCGTTTGGCGGTGAGGAGTCGCGCCGCGAGAACGAGGTGGTGATCGAGACATCTCTGTCCGGCCCAAACGATCCGGAGATGTGGATCACGGTGGACGGTGTGCCGGCGATTCGGATCATGAATTTGAATTGGAGGTTTAGAGGGAACGAGGTTGTGACTGTGAGCGATGGTGTTTCTGTGGAGATCTTTTGGGACGTTCACGATTGGTTGTTCGAATCCTCTGGCTCGTCTAGCGGTTTGTTCGTTTTCAAACCTAAAGCTGGATTCGAATCTAAAACTCTTAGCTTTAATGGCCGCTATGGCGGTGAGGATGAAGACTCTGTTGTTGGTGATGGTGATGGTGATTCGTCGCCCAAGTATTGTCATGTTCTGTATGCTGTGAAGGTTTGATTAAGAATTGGTGATGAGTAATTTTTTTTTTGGTATTTTATGCTGAGGAGTTAGATTTTTTTTGTAATTTTATTTTGTTGTGAACAATTAGGATTTTCATGTACTGTATATGAATTTAAAGTGGATTGATTTTAGTTATTAGTTAAATATTTAGCATCTCCATTATACAATGCTAAGTGTTTCTCATGTTTCCATATTGTAAATTCTGGTTTTCTGTTAACACTTCCCGCCCCCAGATGGGTCCCACGTAAAGAAAGGTAGAAATGGTCAAGCGCACTATAGCAGCTTGATGAACCAGGCGCATTCTAGCAGCTAGGATTGATTAACAACGTGCTAGGGTTTTTCTACTTGGACAATCTCTGAGATTTCAACTGCGAGATGTTGAAACTAGGGTTTAGGTTATCGATTGGCATTCAACATCGCGTGTTCGTTATTCCATGGTGAGTTAATTTTTGCGTAAACTAGTCCTTCTCTTCTCCCTCTGCGTTTTTTTGCGCCGCCTACAAATTCGCCGTAATGAGGGAAAATTTCATATTTTCCCCTTTGATTTCTCCATTGATTCTCACAGTAGAAGTTTGCCTTGGTATCGTTTCAAATATTTATGATTGGGGAGAATTGAAATCGTGGCTGTGTTAGTCACGAGCTCCAAAGCACTGGTTGTTGGGCAGGTCTTAGCGTTTATCTTCTTCACTTTCGCTTTTGGTACTGATTGATTTGAACTTGTTCTCTTTTGATACTGATTGATTTGAACTTGTTCTCTGTTCTCATTACTTTCACGGCGACTGTTACCAATGAGGTCATATACGTTTCTCTATAAGTAAGACATAGTTTAAATCCCCAGTCTTTCGCTTCTGATATCTGTAGGGCGAAGAGACACTTGCCGGCGCCGAGAATTTTGTGTTCAGAGAAGCGGGGCTACAATTCGTCAGGGCTGTGTAAGTATGTTCCAGAGAAGTCTCGTAAGAGTAGTGAAGAATCGACATCTCAGCCTGTTAGATTGGATCATAGTATACGGGAATCTGAAGCCAAGGGTAACGACAAAGAGACTAGAGAGGGCACATGTTTGGATCTGCAAGAGAAAAACAGTGCTGGAAGTTACATGAATGATCCTTTTGACTACTCTAATGAAGGTCTTATGAGTTTGGAGAAGGGTATAATCGCTAGTAGATGGGATCGTAGTGTATTGGGTACTAAATCGAAGGGTAGCAGCAAAGAGGCTAGAAAGGGCACATTTTTGGATCTGCAAGAAAAAAACGATGGTGGAAGTTACATGATTGAGTCTTTTGATGACTCTGATGCTATGAGTTTGGAGAAGGGTATAACTGCTGGTAGATGGAATCATTCTGTATTTGGTTCTAAAGTGAAGGGTAATAATTTAAAACAAGCTGGAGACAGGACATTTTCGCACCTGCAGGATAAAAACGATGCTGGAATGTACAAGAATGTGTCTTGTGACGACTATAGAGAAGGTATTATTATGTAAGCTCGGTTTTATGCTAGTTCAATATGTTATACAACCAACTCTTTGGGAAGTCTCTATTTGCCAGAATTTTATTTCCCAAGTGGCCTAAATTACATTTCAACATCATCTCCAAACCAAGCGTAACCAAGACCCACATTTGTCTAATTTCTTTGCAGAGCTGGAAGAAAGCGGCAGCGATGTTAGATCTACAGGCTATAAGTCGACGGGACAACACAAAAAAGCTTATGATGAAATCAAACTATGTATGGAAGCTGAGCCGGCCAAGAGTAGCAAAGAAGCCTGCAAAGCCACGCAAGAGGCAGAGAACATGGCTATTCGTTATCTTGGTTTAAGGTTAGTTTTAGATGATGAATAAAAGGTTTATTTATTTCCTTCTCCACTCTTCACTGTGTGTATAATTCTTACCTTTTTAATTTGCTTTCCTGCATGTTCCCAGAGCATATACAGCAGTTGAGCTGAAGAAGAAGCTCATTGCAAAGAAATATCCTCTTGAAATCGTTGATAGAGTGATCAATGATTTTCAGCATCGGTAAGATTCCTCTTTGTTTCATGCTTTCAGTTTTGCTCCATCCGCACGCATCATCCTGTGCTTGTTTTAAAGTTATAGGCTGCTTTGTGGTAACGATATCCACTGTACTGGTTAAACTTTTTTGTGTTTTCAGAGGTTTCATAAATGATAGCTTGTACGCGGAGTCATTCTCTCGATCTAGATGGTCTTCCTTAAGTTGGGGACCTAGACGGATCAAGCTAGTAAGGTTTTTTCCTTCTCTTTTAAGAATTTTCCACTCCACCCAAATTACAGCATTTGCATTTCTTTTGGTGACAATAATTTCAAAAGTTTGATTTTTGCCATTTCACATAGTTAAAAATCACATTTTTTTGGTGAGTGTTGTCTGAAAGTTGAGCAAAGTGGGTATTTTGTGTGTGTGTGTGGAGCAGGCATTGTTTAAGAAAGGGATAAGCAACGAAGACTCAGAGGCGGCCATAAAGCTTGTTTTTGAGAAAGGGCAATGCAACGAAGAGGATGAGGAAGCAGAACCGAGGCACGGGATGTCCAAGGAAGCGGTGGATCAGCTTTATGTTGAGGCGTCGAAGCGGTGGGTCCAAGGCAGAGACTTGCCTATAGAAAATCGTAAAGCTAGAGTAATCCGGTGGCTTCAGTACCGGGGATTCAACTGGGGTGTCGTCTCCCAGCTTCTCAAGAGGTTAGAATCATCTCAGGAATCATGATGATCATATTTTCTATGTGTTTGGAATTTCTCCCGAGTCTCTTTATGTTCGAGTGGAATTTGGCTTCCAATTTGTAAGATCAAATAAAACTCAGTTATATTAGTTTTCACTCAGTGAATCGATATGTTGCATTGAAACCAAACTGCAATAAAAGAGATCTAAATAGGTGTGTATTAAGACAAAAACAAAGTTAGGTGGGGGCAAGAAAGAAAACATGTAATTGGAAAAAAAGAAAAGGAAAAGATAAATTTGGTATGGAGCATGGCATCACTTTAACAGGCTGTTTCCCGCTCCTCCATACTCGTGAAATTCCAGAACATATGATTCGCCTGGGGATGGGATGGTGCATCACCTTCACACAGAGATTGATTCTGGGCTTGAGAGACCTTGAGCTTGTAATATTCGTGATACGGATCTGAGCTCCAGAAGAAGCTGAACTTTGGACTTCCCTCACTCTTGCGCATCATACTCTTTTCATACTCCAGCCCATTCCTGGAAACTAATTCTGCCATTCTCTCGATATAAGATTTTATTGTTGGACATATACCCACCGGAGCTTCTCTTGAATTGTTTTTCAGATCATTCTGCGTCAAACCTGACATTTTTTTCTGCGAAAACTTCTCTCTGCGTCAAACTTTTTCTCTCTATTCTTCGATCTCTCTCTGGGCTCTCTGTTCTTGGATGATCATTAGTGTTTGGGAGGCGTCTTCTTTTATAGCCGAAGCCCCGTTGCTCAGTTTCCTTTTTTGAAGCTGAGTTTTGCCTTTTTTGGTTTGATTTTTCCTTTTCTGTTAACGGACTTCAGATAGGTTCTCGGCGATTTACCCTTTTTAGCATCTTTGCGCGGGACTTCAAATCAGAAACCTTGATGCGTAATGGGTTGGGCCAGAGAGGACTCTTAATTGGATCGCGTAACCTTTACAATAGTAGTTTATTATTTAATGGGTCTCTGATTTGGGAGACGCTATTCATCATCATTTTAAAAAACGGCATGCAATGCATAATCAACCCGATTAAAACACGGCACGATGTCTAAGGCGGCTATAGTAAAAAACGTTGTCGTTTGTTCCTTAGTAAAGTCTTTTAACCCTCGACACTCGGGCTCTGCTTTGCATCTTCTTCGGACTTTTGCAGACTCGAGAGGCTTTCTCTGTTTTTTTTTTGGCCTTCTTCCACTGAAAACGAAGGTTATAGTCTGTAGGGAGAGTATAAATCTGATGGGGAAGAGGAAAGACCGTCGTTTCGCGGCCAATAACACCAGCCGTCGTGTCAAGCTTGATCTCTTTGCGGAACCCTCTGGTATGCTTTTTTTCTTTTGGGACTTGTCTTATCGGTTTCGATTCGCTATCTTCTCTTTTGATCGATGAAATCTACTAGGTCGTTTAGAACTGGATCATTGATTCTTCTAAGGAATTTGAATCTGTTATATAATTGGATTTGTAGTCTCACTGATGGTCTTACTCTTACGGATTCGATATCGTTTCTTTACTGGGGAATCTAGGAGCTAGTTTAGATTTTTTTTTTTTTCTGGGGAAGTTTTCCGATTTTCGTTATTCCGCCTCTTGTAGGAGATTTGGGTGGCTCAGATGTGCGTGACGGAGTTGAGCGGGAACAAAAAGAGCCTAAAGAGTTACCCAATTCACCTTCTTCTTCAGGTGGGTTCCATCAGCTATCTTCAAAATCCGCTATGTAGCAACGCTCTTAAGTGCTCGACATCTTAATGCTGCAAAATTCGGAATTCTTGTTTGTCTTCCAAACACATTATATGTTGTTTGCCCCCAAAATTTCTTCTTCAGAGTATAGAGTGGCTGTGGTCTTGGGGACTTCGTATGACATCGGTTCAGGCCAAGCCACGGTGATATTATGAATGAGCTGCTCTATTTTGCAGCTTCAGGCTTTACGGAGACTTTCTTCTGGAAATAGCTCCTTAGCGGTTCGTATGTCTCTGGCTGTTTTGGCTTGCAACGCTTAAACTGACACCTTTGTCATTAATTGTGACAGGTCGCTGAAAAATCTCCCCCGACGCTATTCTCCATCCTTTTTTTTTCTTCTTTAATGCAACCTAAAATGTCCCGGAGCTATTCTCTTTTTCAATTAACTGAAGTCTAGTGATGTAGTTAGTGGGGCTTCCAAAGTTTGACGCTTTAGTCTTCTTATTTTCAGGTCAGAAAACAGAGAACCCTTTGCTTTTACTTGGGCAATATAGTGATGATGAGGTGGAAAAAGATGATTCGGATGAGAGGGCAGGTGATGCCTCTGCAGATAGTTCATTAGCCAATAAAACTGAGCAGGTAACAGTAATTAACTTTTACGAAAGGTGATATACTGTTATTCTTTGTTAGTCTTGATTAATTTTATTTAAACCAGGTTGATGGACACAAAGATACAAATATCAAATCGGGTGCAGACACCACAACGCATATGGTTGACCAACAGCAAACAGGGGACGATTCTGCTGCATCTGGTTTTAAGGCTGAAGGGGACGCTGGTCATGTAACTTTGAGTAACCCATCAATCTCGGATGGACTAAACAATCAGACAGATCCCTCAGCTCAAGCACCTGGCACTGTGTCTTTGGAGCACCATGCGTCCACGGATGTTACTTCGCAGTGGAAGATGATTTTGCATGAGGAGAGCAATCAGTATTACTACTGGAATACAGAAACGGGGGAAACTTCGTGGGAAATTCCTGCAGTTTATAGTCAAACTGCCGGTGCATATGGGACTGGGTACAATGAGTCTGTCCCCATGGGTACAGATGCGTACACCTTGATTTCTGGTGTTGAACCAAGCTATTTGCAGCAACCCGTGCATTATGTTTTCACAGGAACTGATTGTTCGACCTCTCTAACAGCTGAGCTGGGTGAGAGAAACAAAAGTGAAGATCAACATGTCGAAACCTTAGGAACTGATGGTCATCAAGTTGAATGTCAGATAGACTCTGCTGTTAATAACCAATCATGTCAGGAGGAACTTGCAGGACCAGGAAGTTTCGGTCATGTGGATGCTACTTTTGATCAAGGAGTGGCTACTGACCTCCCTTCTCGCCTGTTGAGCCAAAGCGAAGGCTTACTGGAGAAGCTGAGGTCTCTGAAGAAGTAAGCCATTCTAGTTTGCGTCTTCTTGCTTACACATATTATACTGTTAGATAATCAGATCATTGTTCCCTTATCTTCTAATTTCTAAAAATTTGTAGGTCTCATGGGAACTTTCACAGCAATGAGCAGTTATCAAAGTACATGCTGGAGGTTGAAGTCAGACATTCTGATGTCAAGGCGCTCATATATGATACCTCACCTCTACTTTCTTTTTGGCTCCACACTGAGAAACAACTCAAGCGCCTGGAAGAGGGTGTCAACGATGAGATTTATGAGCTTGCAAAATCTGCAGTAATGGAAGAAATCGCAGAAAGTAACAAAAGCTCTCCGAAAGATAAGTTGGTAGCAGATGCTAATACAGAAAGTGAATCCGAGAACAGTGGGAGAGAAGGAGAGTTAGCTCAATCTGGAAAAAATCTTCAGTCAGATAAATCAGCTGATGTGGGTGGCGATGGATCTCCCACCCACTCCGAATGTCATCCAGCTGGAAAGTCTGATGAGATGCTTCAGAAGGCTGGCTCCACAGATGTGGAAGATATTGACATGGATGTGGATATGGAGGTTGAAGAATCGGTTCCAATGTCTTCTGTTCAAGTCGTAGATGCTTCTGAATGTAAGACGTTCAGTCAAACAGAGCCATCCAACCTTCATACAGATGTTCCAGCACCTCCGGGTGAGGAATGGATTCCCCCACCGCCGTCTGAGAGTGAAGATATCCCTCCACCGCCACCAGACGATTATAGTGAACCAGCTCCTCCACCACCTCCTGAAAATGGCCATGTCCCTCCACCTCCGTCGAGTGATTCTCTGGGAGTTTCCTATACCTTACCTCAATCTTATATTCAGCATTTTGCTGATTATGCGGCACAATACGACCTATCATATCCAGAGTCCAGTTATCAATATATTGCCGATGCACCTATCACTCAGTTCTATGGCCATGTCGACGGATCTCAAGTATCTCTGCCCCAGTCGACATTTTATTATGAAACTATTCCCGGTACAGGTGAAGTTGCTCCTGCAGCAGCCAGCGCTGTTGAAGCTTATTACGATTTCAAAGGTGCAGCTCCGCTGTTCCCTGTCATCAGCCCTGCAGAGTCATCGCTGCATCACAGTGGAGTTGGTTCTGCTAATTACAGCATCCTAAGCATTCCTTCTACAGCTGTAGAGCATAGCTCCAGATCCAATGACACTGCTGAAATGGCATCTTTGGCCACTGCTTCTCAATCCACTGATGTTACTGGTGTAACGGCTGATTTAGCAAAGGGTCAATCTAAAGGTATGGTCGTTGGAATCACTTTGTATTCGTCATTGGTCTTTAATCTTGGTTTCGAACTTTGCTGTAATAATAACTCATCTTGGTTGGTAACAGTGAAACGGCCTAAAAAGCGGACAGTTGCTGCTACATCCACATTAAGGTCAAATAAAAAGGTTTCGAGTTTGGTGGACAAGGTACGTGTTGTCTATTTCTTGAATCTCCTCTCAAACGAGCTCTTTTTCTAGTTGATCTTATACCTAAAAATTGCCTCTTCACTTGTGCTCAGTGGAAAGCTGCGAAAGAGGAGCTAAACGATAGTGAAGAGGAAGAAGACGAAGAAGATTATGGGATCCTTGATAAAAAGAGGCGGCGAGAAATCGAAGAATGGAAGTCCCGACAAATCGCGAGCGGAGAAGCTAAAGACAACGCAAATTTCCAACCCCTCGGTGGTGACTGGTTAGTTCCTCTGCGTAATGCAAATTTTCTCCACCATTAAAACATGATGTAATTACTTAACGCGGTAACATGTTTATTGATGATATATTATTAGGCGTGAGAAAGTGAAGCGGAGGAAAGAACGAGCAGGACGTGAAGCTAAGGAGTCTAAGAAGAAAGACGAAAAGCAACAAAAACCTGATCTGACCAAACTCTCTGCACTTCTCCCCTCGGGATGGCAGGTATATTGTTGTGTTTTTTGTTTGCCGTTTCACTGTATATCGTTTGTTTTTGTAAATGGAAAACGCAGTCGCCAAAAACATTATCGCTCATTTGATTCTCTCTCTCTCGCAGGCGTATTGGGACGAATCTACGAAGAAAGTTTACTATGGGAATACAGTTACATCTCAAACCTCTTGGACACGACCCGCTACCTGAATCTCAATGGCTTTCTCTACCAAATTTTCTAATTTCTTTTTTTTTCTATAATACTTTTGTTTTAGATGTAAATTTATTACAGAGCTCATCGTCTTGTAGGTGACATATGTTGGATACATACTCGTCTTTTTATTAGACGATTACATTTGTACCATTCCACAATGCTAACGAAAACCACGACCGCTTGAATTCAATTACTTTGTGCAAACAGAAAAAGTAAATATCCAGAGATTCCTCTTCTTATTATGCATTTTCATAAAATTAAAGGAAAACAAAGTAAACCCTTTTATCAACAATAAAAAGAAAAGAAAAGAAAATCAAAAGCCTGTGTGACGTTTAATGTATATACACACATTGGAGATATTTAAAATTGAGAAGAAAGACATTTCTGCATTATTATTAATCATGGGAAGACTTGGGAGAGGCAGAATTAGAAACACCTCCTGCCAGCATGGACAGGTTAGACGGAACGGAAATGCCACGTGACATACCGAGTCCAGCGTTACGGCGGTGGTAACGGCACCTGAAGGAGCCAGGGTGTGTGGTTGGTGCACATAAACAGTTTAGCCTCACGCTCGATGATTTTCCCATAGCCACCGAACCACCACCTCCACCACGTGCACGTGGAGACATGTTGTAAGCTTCTTGTCTTTTAATGTCTTCATGGCTAATCTCTTGCTGTGTCTCCTTAAGTTTGATCTTCATCATCATCCTCCTCCTTGCTTCTTCTTTCTCTTTCCCTTCCATTTGTTTTTCTTCTTCTCTTTCTTCTTTGTTTCTCTACCTTCTTACAAATAGAGAAACCTCTAAAAATAGTCGACACTGGGAATCAAGAAACTGAAAAAACTTTTAGAATTAAAAAGAGCAAGTTAATGTAGACAATGTATATCCAAAAATAGTAGTTTTTCTATATATTCCTTCTCTTGCGGTTCTGAATTCCCGAAATTGTCGTTTTATTTGCAGAAAATAGATGTTTGGTTTTGTAAAAGAGCTCAGATCAGAGGAAATAAAAGAAACTCTAGGTGTAAAACATGAAACTTGTATGGCACGTGCCATGATGCTAAGATGGGCTTTAATGGACCTTTTTGGACATTAGAAACTAGGAGATGATTTTTCGCACAGGGGTAACGAGATCCATTTTGGAATGACATTTCGAAAGTGGTCATTATCTCTGTTGCTGAATCATACATAGTATAAGTCACGAAATCAATAGATATCCAAAACTGTTGTACAATGTACTGTATATTTACAAAATGATATAAAAATGTCATTTACAATTTAACTCTAAAACCTTTTAAAGATTTAACAAAATCCACATTGTTGGTACAAAACGAAGGCCAAACCAAATACGCATGGCCCTGACCCGAAAGAAACCAGAAACAAACACCAAACACGTAACCATGGCCTAAAAACCACATTCTAATAGCTCTGGTAAATAATCATATTCCCGTACAACTAAATCCTGATGACCGAATACACATACATATAGGGTCTGAATTTAAAACATACAAATTGAACCTATATCCTTTTAACCACATAATTATTATAGACTTCCAATTTGTAGCTAGATCCTACGTAAACAGCTGACAATTAAGAAAACTACTTAGCACTATACGACAGAAAGCATTCAACTTGAGCTCTAAAGAATAATGAATGTAGTTTATGCAGAGCTTCTTAAGCTAATTCGTAGAGGGTTATGCAAACTAAGCAAAGGGAGGAGGGGAACTAAAAAAGTGAGTGATTGATTATCTAACGAGACTACCAAACGATTATATCCTTATGGAAGTGAAACAACAAACTCCAAAACCAAAACCAAATATGCTAAAGTCTACATAACACAATCTAAGTTAAGAGGTAAAACAACACTTAAAGTAGAGAAACAAGCACACACACACACTAGCAGATGTCTATAATATGGCAATAAAACTATTTTTTTTGATGCTCTTCCTGGCCTTAGCAAACCCTTCCTGATGTGCCGCTACATGATAACTCTAAGTTTCCTCTAGAATGCAACTACGCAGCAGAATCTAGAGAAACACGTGAGAAGCTTCTATAGCGTCTACCAAAGGATCTGAAGCCTATCTTGCATATGGATGGTAACGACTACTGCTACTGTAACCCCTTCCATAGGGACCTCCTGCACCATCGTAACTGCCACCTGGGCCACCGGATTCGAATGCCCCATCATAACCTGCACCGCCATAGCCCACATAGCCTTCCCCTCCTCCACGACCATAGCCATTACCATAGCCATAGCCCTCACCACCAAACCCGCTCCCATAGGGTCCAAAACGACTAGAGTAGCCAAGGGGAGGTTCATTCCGGTAAGGTCCATAATCACCATACCTTCCTCCAAATTCAGGGCCTACACCGCCACGACCATACGGTCCATACCCATAATCCCCAGCAAACCTACTAGGAGGACCTCCGTGTGACCTAATGGGACCTGGAGGACCATACCTTCCATCAAAACCTCCGTAAGGTCCGCCATAACTATCATTAAAAGAGCGACCTCTAGGGTGACTACCATAAGGAGGAGGTGAACGGTTTGAAGATTTCTTTGGTTCAGCTTTCTTGATCTCCACCTACAACAAAGCAACTTAATTAACCTAGCTATGGAGTTTTCTAGCTTACTCTGACAATTTCCGCTAATGGGGGGTTGAATACTAACTAAGTTTAACTAATGTGTATAAAGAAAGCAACAAACATCATTATATTTTTAATTGAAACCAGGAGAGATACGTATTCTAGACCCCATTCAAACAAACTTACCTGAGTGTCTGCCATATCGATCATGTTTCCTTTGGACAATAATTCATCTACAACTTCTTCGCTGTCGTAAATTACAAAACCAAAACCTCGGGACCTGTTTGTTTCATGGTCTCGGATAATCTGGTGTTCCACCACGTTCCCATACTTGGCAAAGAACTCCTTAAGTTCATCTGATCATCAACAAAAATAAAAAAACTAAATTAAGCACAAAACAACAATATTCTCATGAGAAGCAACAACTTCAAGATGTGCCAAGAGACAGGTAATATACCTTCTGTAACAGTCGAGGGTATACCACCAATAAAAATCTTCTTAGTTTTGAAATCTTTTGACTGATTGCCACCAGCACCTTTGGGAATAGTCCTTTTGATCTCAACCTGTTCCATCGGTCCGAAAACAAAGTATTAATCATGATTTAACAAAGGTAAGCATAAAATTACTCATCAACGATATAACATCAATACTGTAGAAAAAAAAAAAACAGAGAAGCGGCGTAAGAGACCTGTTTCCCATTGATAATATGAGTATCCTCCATGACTTTATCGACAACAGAAGGGTCAGCATAGGTGATGAAACCAAAACCCCTAGGTTGTCCACTGTGTCGATCTCGCATGATGACGGAATCTGTAATCTCCCCGTACTTGCCAAAATGGTTATTGAACACAGCTGCAAGAGTAAAACTCAATCATTACCAACGCTAATATCAACAGACCTAACACATCAGAAACACATGTAAAACAACGAGGGACTTACCGTTGGTGGTCTCTTTGTGTAATCCTCCGATGAATATCTTCCTGCGACACAAAAATTCGAATCGGAAAACATGAATTTAACTAACCTCTAATCAACACTGCGAAAACATGCAAAAAAAAATAAAAACGAGCTATCTGAGCTACAGATTACAATATACATATATTTCTCTAATTGTTTGATTCATCCTATGGGATTCAAACATGCAAAAGAGGGAAGTAGAAAACGTACCCTGGACTGGCGCCATCGCCGGACTGGAAATTTTCATTACGAGATCTGGATCCCATCGCAATTCCTAGATCACTCACTATCTATGTTTCGATCGAGAACCCTCCGAGAAAACTCCGACCTGTATGGAATCGAGAGAGAAACCGAGAGCTAGGGTTTTTATTTGGAAGCTATTTCGATCGAAGATCTGATATATCCGCTCGATATATCCCTTAACAAGAGAAAATATTGGTAAATTTCGTATTATATATTTTCTGAAGACCACCGACTCGCGGAATAAAAAAAAATAAATGTTTTGACAGTCTAGATAAAAAAAAAAAAAAAGTTGTTGACAGTGGGATTTGAACCCACGCCCTTTCGGACCAGAACCTTAATCTGGCGCCTTAGACCAACTCGGCCATATCAACTTTGATGTCCAATAATCCTTTATAATAGACTTACGCTTATATGACAGTGATGTCGGCGTATAAAAATACGGAGATATACATTTAGCGGTAATTTTATACGGAAATAGTATATATATCAAGTCTTTGGGTTCAAGTCTCATACCCCTCTCTCTCTCCTCCCTGCTTCTCTCTCTACCTCCCTCCCCCCAAAACAATGACCACCAGCGGCGGCGATGAAGGCTCTAGGGTTTCGATTCCGGCCGATCTGCGCCAAACCATTCAAAACATCAGAGAGATTACTGGAAAACAACATTCCGACGAGGATATCTTCTCCGTCTTTAAGGATTGCTTCAACGATCCACTTGAGAGCGCACAGAAGCTCCGCTATCTAGGTACTTGCCGAGGTTTTCTACATTTGTTTTTTTTAATCCTATTAGAGTTTTGTTTCTGCTTTTTTTTAGTTGAGCGCGCTTCTCCTAGGTTTTTTTTTTTTTTTTTTTTTTTTTTGTATGTTGCCATTTTATGCCCTTCGTCGATTTTGGATGTTGACAGGGCTTTGGTGTTCGCTATTCCTGTTTGTGATGTGATTTTTCGGATGCAACTTTTATGAGGTTTCTATTTGGAAACTTTCAGATATGGAAAGTTTTTAAGGATTTGGAATATGCAGAATCTGGGGTTTATGACTAGGAACATTCGTTTGAAATTGGCGCTTTCCTCTCAATCAAATGTAGAATCTTCACCGAGTAGCTAAATATGATGAAACTTTGGATATATTAGTTATGATTGGGTCATCTGTGTTATAAAGTTTGGATTCTGTCTTCTGTGTCAAGATCAACATTGTTTTTTTTTTCTTTCTCTTTTGGTTAAAAAAATTGTTGTTTATGGGCATTTGTACTCATAAATTATTATGATCTACGAAATGTTTCAGATACGTTTCATGAGGTGAAAAGCAAACGGGAGAGAAAGAAAGAGGTAGGTTCATGATCACTTTTTGTTTTAAGGATATGGAATATCACAAATTTTTGTGGATCACACGTCCTCTTATAATTAGCGTTATCACGAAATTTCTGTTATCCCCTATGAGCAAGTTCATGATTACTGTGTACCGCCTGTTGCAGAATTTAGTGCCAACTACACAAGAAAGGGGCAGGAATGGTCGGAGGAACTTTGCTTCAAACTATACTGGTGATTGTAGTTTTCATTCTTTACTAAATATTTTTGAACTTGTGTAAGTTTTCCTTTCCCTGATATAAGTTATTTGTTGATTTGCAGCTGCCAATAATGGAAGAAGTGCAGCTTTGAAAAGGCAGAACGGAGCTAATCACAGAGTAGGAGGTCCCAGAACTGCTTTGCCTGCTCCTAACAAAGCAACAAACGACAAAATGAAGTATACATACCATTCCTTCTATGTCTTTAACACTCTGTTCGGATATGGGTCTCCTAAAGCGTTATTCCTTTTTTTTTTTTGCAGGGCATCTCACTCTATAATTCCTTCAAGTGTCAGTGTTTCCATCTCCCCTGTGAACAAGGGACTTACAAAAGAACACCCTCTCTCCAGGTCTACTTCTTCGTCTGAGGGTGTTACTGAGCTGAAGAAGTCTAAAGCAAGTGAAAATGTACCTGTATCAGATTCTGTTGTACAAAACGATACTCAATATGCTGTAAATGGAACTTCCCAGAGCTCACAGCAATCATCTAAGCAAGATCAGTTGTTGATTGCCACTTCTAATTGCAGTAGCCAGCCAGATCATGGTATAATGTAGTTTCTCTTCATCTATGCAGCTTTAAGTGCATTCTGTATTCATTCAGATTGTTTCCTGATTTCGATTACAGCCTCTAATTTGATTCGACCTATGGCTGTTTTTGTTTTGGAATAGTCACTAGGAGTGAGGCTGCAACCAATAAAAGCAATAATCAATCGCTTCTCAAGTCAGATGTTGGTGAACGGCCCCACGTAACATTTCCTGTCCACCTTCAGGTTGCTAAGATGCTAGAAAATGGTCTGACGTTTGGGAGCTTCGATTCCAATTTTGTGAAAGAGTCATGTTCTGACAATGGCACTAACGGGTGTGAAGAATCCAATATCAATTCTTCTCATGGAACAGCAGCCTATAGTGCATCAGCTAGGTTGGTGACTAAAATCTTACACTGTTTGATTGCTTCTATATTTTCACGAATTGCTCTACAGTCTCAGATGAGTTAGTTTCGTCAGATATGACATTCGCTAGTGCCCTTTATATGAAATGGGAGTTTTTGCTCTGTTTGATTGGCTCGTCCTTAACTTTTCACATTTTGATGTTCCGTGCTTCAATACAATAATTTCGTTTGCAGGAAAGATACATCAACTCTTACTCAAGATAAGGATCATGAGATTTCAAATTCAGTATCTGAGACTGAGCTAGCATTGCAGTCAGATCAAACTGTTCACTCTGTAGAAGGTTCTGAAGGAGATAAACTGAAGGAGGAGTTTTTACCAATCACAGACACTAATCAGGTCGGTTTTGTTCAAGAATCCCGTACAATGTCTTTTTCTCGTGTGTGCGTTCATTGTCAGCATCATGCCAACCTTTCTTGCCAGAATAATCTGAATACAGCGAGTGCTTAACAATCACTGTCTTATATATTTTGTTGGTTATTGCAGGCTGCAAATTGTGATGCTCCAACAATCTCTTATCCTGAACAGAGTTCCATAGCAGCCTCTCAACAGGCAATGCACCTTCTAAGACAACAACAATACCCTCTAAACTTTTTCCCTTACGGTCCCTATTTTCCACCCGTCTATATGCCGCAACCATACATTCACCCGTTCTTGAGCCCAACCGGGTTCCAACAGCAGTCTTACTTACCGCCTGGAGATGCTGCTCCAGGGGATAAACTCCCTCTGCCTCACATCAAATCAGGAAGCAACGTTGGGAACTCTCCACCTACCACAATCCCATCGCCATTTGATTCATACGCAGGTGCTTTTAACCACATCCCATCAGCAGCCACCGTAAACTCCACCCACAAGGAAGAAAAGGAGGAAAACATTTACACGACTGTGCCACTGGTTAGTTTATCTCTGTCTCTTATCTCCTCTCTCTCTGTCATTGTGTGTTAAGGTATACGTTTTAACAGGGTTTCCATGTATGCAGAGTCTAGCCAGCCTCCAGGCCAGTGCCATGTACAACTTATCCCTTCAGTGTCAGCCATTAGCTTTCCCGACCATGCAGTCCAGGTTCACGGGAATGTACCAACATACACAGCCCGTACTGGCGGCTCCAACTATACCTGCCATGGCTGAACAACCCACAGGACTCCCACACATAACTAACCAGTAACCTCAAGCTGCACTGTCGAATCTGGGCAACAAGTACTAGGCCAAGCAGAGTTTACTATAAAGATACATATCGGATTGGTAAGGAGAGATACTCAAGTCTGGTGTTTTTTTAGAGTTCTTGTGTGTACATACTTAGGAAACAACACCCCCAAGACGAAACTAGCGTGTGGCAATTTTACCAAGGGGGACAAGAGAGAGAATTGGCGCCTTTCTTTTTGTGAGAACCAAACAATTTCAAGAGGAGATTGATGGTGTCTCGTTTGTCTGTAATTCTTTCGAATTTTTCCCAAGGGGGACAAGAGAGAATTATGGCTCTTTTTGTGAGAACCAAACAATTTCAAGAAAGTGATTGATGTAATTCATTCGTATTTTACAATACTATAAACAAGTTATCACTTTATTCGAGCATTTATACACCATACTTGACGCAATGTGATGGCCAACGGGCAAAGCCAAGGACTCTTTGGCTGATTATATCATAAAAATGAGGAATGATTATTAACCTACCAAATAAGTAATGAAATTAGATATTATCTATCTCATTTTATCCTTGTGCAAGTCAACACATGCATAAACTAATTCCATTAAATACAAAAACATTGAAAGAATGTGGTCTACCAAACTAACACCCTGATAAAAGGAAAGAAAAAGAGAACACAAAAAGCAAGAAAGTTTCAGGTTTGACACAGTTGATCCACACACTTCTTCCGTTATATAACACAGCCTTACTTTAAGATCAATTTCTTGCATCTCAAGACTCAAAAAAAAATCAATGGAGACCAGAAGATCAACAGAAGAAGTTGAAGACAATCATGTAATGCAGATTCCAGGAAGCAATGGCATATTACACAACATGGAGTTCTTGCCCCAAGCTTACCTCAGAAACCAATACTCATCCGAAATTGACATCCACGAAGAATTCGTTTCCTCTTATCCTCACGAAGATGCCCCTCTTCCCATATTCCTCAAGGTTCCTCCATCTCTCTCACTGTTTTCTTTCTGTTTTCTCGCTACGAGAAAAGACTCATTCATATTGGTCTTAATCTGCAGTTTGAAGATGTGGAGTACAAGGTGAGAAACAGCCAAGCTAGCTCAGCAAACCTGGTGAAGACAATGGTGTCGAAGGTGGTGACACATACGAGTCCGGATCCAGATGGGTACAAGCACATTTTGAAAGGTATAACAGGAAGCACTGGTCCAGGAGAAATCCTTGCACTAATGGGACCTTCGGGTAGTGGAAAAACAACTCTCTTGAAGATAATGGGAGGAAGATTGACAGATAATGTCAAAGGGAAACTTACCTACAACGACATCCCTTATAGTCACTATGTTAAGAGGAGGTTAGCTACGAGCTCAAAAGTTAAATATCTTCTCGTACCTGAATATTGGTTATACACGCTTATATATCTTTGGTTTATTTTCCAGAATTGGGTTCGTGACACAAGACGATGTCTTGTTGCCACAACTTACTGTGGAAGAGACCTTGGTATTCGCTGCGTTCTTGAGACTTCCAAGCAGCATGAGCAAGGAACAGAAATACGCTAAAGTTGAGATGATCATCAAAGAGCTTGGCCTTGAAAGGTATTGGGAGAACTCGTACACTTCCTTCAAACATGTGCTAAGGTGTAGAGACATTTCTTGTTGTTTCTAAACTAAATTTTTCTTGTAAATAAACCATAAAATTAAAGATGTCGTCACACAAGAGTTGGAGGAGGTTTCGTCAAGGGAATATCAGGTGGAGAAAGAAAAAGAACGAGTATAGCATACGAGATTCTCGTAGATCCTTCTCTTTTGCTTCTGGACGAGCCAACTTCTGGACTTGACTCCACTTCTGCCACAAAACTTCTTCATATTCTGCAAGGAGTAGCTAAGGTGTGTCTGCATTTCTTTTAGCAAAGTTCTTGGAAGACACGGAAGCATAAGATTCGATTTTGTCTTTTTGCAGGGAGGAAGAACCGTCATCACGACAATTCACCAACCATCAAGCAGAATGTTTTACATGTTCGACAAGCTTCTACTCATCTCAGAAGGGCACCCTGCCTTCTACGGCAAAGCCAGAGAAGCTATGGACTATTTCTCATCTCTGAGAATCTTACCTGAAATTGCAATGAACCCAGCTGAGTTCTTGCTCGACTTGGCAACCGGACAGGTTTCAGACATTAGTCTCCCTGAGGAAATCTTGGCTACAAAAACATCCCAACCTGATTCTGAGGACGTAATAGTGAAAGTAAGGATCACATAAAGTCATTATTGTGTATATTTAATGAGACTAAATCCTGGTGTTATGATTGCAGTACTTGCAACTAAAGTACAGGACAGACTTGGAGCCAAAAGAGAAGGAAGAAAACCATAGAAATAGAAAGGCTCCAGAACATCTTCAAATAGCAATCCAAGTGAAGAAGGACTGGACGCTTTCATGGTGGGATCAGTTCATGATTATATTCAGAAGAACATTCAGAGAGCGGCGTCGAGATTACTTTGATAAGCTGAGGCTAGTTCAATCACTCGGTGTGGCCCTTGTGTTGGGCCTTCTCTGGTGGAAATCAAAGACAGACACAGAGGCGCACCTCAGAGACCAAGTAAAGAAGCTACTTGGGTTTTGCGATTATACCAAATTAAGTTATAAGCCTTTTTCAATTAATCTGGTTAGCTTGTTACTGCAGGTTGGTTTGATGTTCTATATATGCATCTTCTGGACATCTTCTTCCCTCTTTGGAGCAGTATATGTGTTCCCCTTCGAGAAGATATATCTTGTGAAAGAAAGAAAAGCAGACATGTACAGACTAAGCGTGTACTACGTATGCAGTACACTATGTGATATGGTGGCACACGTTTTGTATCCGACATTCTTCATGGTCATTGTCTACTTCATGGCTGAGTTCAAGAGAACAGTCCCTTGCTTCGTCTTCACCTTGTTGACAATACTACTGATAGCCATAACTAGCCAAGTAAGCAACAGAAAAGCTTGAGAACTGCTCTCACTTTCGAAATTAAAACATGTTTTTTATCCAATGTAAATTGCAGGGTGCAGGAGAGTTCTTAGGAGCTTCAGTATTGAGCATCAAGAGAGCTGGTATGATCGCCTCTTTGGTGCTAATGCTGTTTCTTCTCACGGGAGGTTACTATGTTCAGGTACCACAACTTATAGCTTGGATGGATTTTACTCTATATTTCCTATTCTCAATTTGAACTACTTAAGCTCAACAAAAAGTGATGTGCTTTTGATTTTGAACTCGAAATGCATGCAGCACATACCCAAATTCATGCAGTGGTTGAAGTACTTGTCCTTCATGCACTACGGCTTCAGGCTGCTACTGAAAGTTCAATACACAGGGGACCAACTCTTCGAATGTGGGAGCAAAGGAGGCTGCAGGACGCTGCAGAGCTCATCATCCTTCGACACAGTCAACTTGAATGGAGGCTTGGAAGAACTGTGGTTTCTGCTTGCCATGGCATTTGGCTATCGCCTTTGTGCTTACTTCTGCCTTCGCAGGAAAATCAGCATTTGCCATCTTTGATAATAATATTTGAACCCAAAAAACAAAAGTTTATACACAGATCATTGAGCTATTTCCAATTTTGTTAAAGAGTCATGGTGTCAGTGATGAATAAGAACACAGTAGAAATCTAGGAAATACCATTAAAGTCGAGCTCATAAGCTTTTGATATGAATCGTAAAACAAGAGTTGGTTGGCTTATGTTTTAGTACAAGAGAGATTATAAATCCCAAGACAGATTAAAAAGCCTTAAGCTCGTTCATCATACAGACAAGTAGCAAATTAACAACACCCTTTGTTCAATCACTTCATGTATCTGTGCAGGAATTTTCTGTGAAAGTCATTCCTGATTGTATCATTGATGAAGCGCTTTGGTGCTTTCATTTCCCCACGTGCCTGATTCTTGAATACCACATCATCATCCCACCTGAAAAAGGAGCAAATGAGTTTTAACTAACAATTTAATATAATCCCAAGATTCTTGAAGGTACAAGGTTTCAAAAGTTGCTCACCTCCTTTTGACGCTAAACGAAGTTGGAGTGTTGAGCAGTGGGTTTCCTTTGAGAAGTTCCTCTTCCTTGGCGTTTAGCTCTTCCATTTCCTGCTCCTTTACCTGGAAAATGTGTATGATACATATATATTAGACTAGCACATTAAATGTTTCAAGATGAATATATGTTTCAGAAAAACTAATCTTGTCCATTTTTTAATACTAATAATCTGAGCAGAAACATCACACAGGCAAGAGCAACCATACCTTCCTGAGCTTCTCCTCTTCTCTTTCTTTCTTTATCTGGTCGAGTTCAGCCATAAGAGCTTCAGTGTCGTCCTCATCATCATCGTCACTTTCTTCATCACTGGAAAAGACAAAACAAATTGTAAGTTATTTCTGAAATAACTAGAGGATTGTGACTAGACAAGAACCATAGCAAACTCGCCAAGACAAATGTCAATCGAGATTAAAACAAAGAATCCCCAACCCTAGCCTCAATACTCTTAGAAAGATTTTAAAGCACAACAAAAAAAAAGGAACTGCAAAGAGGAAGAGAAGAAGAAGAATAGTAACCTATCATCATCACTTTTGATATCCACATCAGAGTCATCAGCATCTACACTGCGAGGAATAATCCGATCTTCAGGGTCCCTTTTAGAGCCTTCAAGTAATAGCTGACTTCCTCTCCTGCGGTCTCTATCATCTAATGATAAAACAATGCCTCATCAGTACAAATGCAGTTTATAGTTATACTTAGTGAAAAGGCTTGAAATTTATCATCGTACTTACCACTGTAAGGTTTGTCTTTGGATGAGAAATGTCTCCTCTCACGCTCTTCAAGCTCCTCACGAAGATCTTTCTTCTCTAGTTCCTCTTGAGTGTGTTGCCCTTCCCTCCTGCCAAAACAAAAGTAGGAACACGTTATGATATATCCCATACAGATTATACGCAAATAGAAACCAAAATCTTTGAATTGTCAAGCACAAATAAGTCCTAGAAATATCAAATCTCGTACACAGCTGCATAACCTAATCCTCAAAACCACAACACGATCCCGGTAACACACAGGCCGCGATACTACTTATCTCAGATACCCATAGACAAAGTACACAGGCCTTTTCCGAATCACCGTATGAAAATAATAATCTCAAATTGCAATAAACCCTAGATATCTTGAGAATCTCATCAATCAAAGATAATTGCAATAGAATTCACATGTAATCGGATCCGGATCGAATCCAGGGAGAGAAGCAATCAGTATCGAAATCTCACCTTGGCTTTAAAGTTGTGTGAGCGGCGACATCTCGGGACGAATACTTCTGAGACGGGCCGAAGATCCGAGCACCACCCTGCTCGTTACCTCCCTTGGCAGGAGCCCACGTCGGCCGTGCAGCAGTCGTCATCTTCAGAAGAAAGAAGCCCTAAATTCCAATCAGAGAGACAAATCAACCAAAATCGGGATAAGGACGAGAGGTCTCAGTCGCGTTACGAGAGAGAAGAAGCCAATGGGGAATTACCGATTTATATAATAGCGATTAACTTTTTTTTTTTTTAAACCGACCTTAACGACTGTAAACTTTTCCTTTTTCCATTTTTTTTTTTGTTTATCGACCTTAAGTGATTTTACTTTTAATAATCACTTCCACTGTTAAAGGATAAAGCACTGTAGTAAAAACCTAATCTTGTAAATGCCAATTACCAAAACTTTTGTCACAGAAGAAGAATAAACTTAAGGATTTTACAAAATCAACATAGCCGAATTTTTTTGGTTAGTTGATGTTTGAACACGACCAACAAAGTGACAACTTTCTTCTATTTATGAGTTACAGGTTATCACAATTACAAACGAGGTCAGATTCTTCTAACACTTGAGCAAACAAGTTTCTTTGGATCTCGATTTTGACTTGTGCGCTTCCTTTGCAGATTGAAACGATTTGGCACACATTTTGGATTCTGCCAGGATCCTACTAGCTGCCTTACGCCGTCGTTTAAGCTCTGCGTCCACCACAACTGTAGCTTCTTCGGCCATCTCAGCTTTCTTCAATGCATCCTGTGTTGCAGCTTTGATATCTTCGATCTCTCTCTCACTCATCTCTAGCTTCTTGAGTGTTTCGTCTCTGCAAGCCCTTAATGCTTCCGTCTCAGTTAATTCACCACCACTTTCGTTCAGCTCAGCTATTACTCTGAAATCAGATTTTAGATCCCAAGTCTCTGAAACACTTAACCGTTCCTCTGCTGCCTTTGTCTCTTCAGCCTCGAAAAGAGCAATCTTGAGCTCTCCTTCGAGCAGCGAGAGTTCGGTCTTAGCATCTTCAGCTTCCTTCTTCAGCTCCTCAATGGCTTGATCTGTTTCTCTCTGCTCATCCTCTTTAAGCCTTGCATGTTCTTTCTTCAAGTTTTGAAGCTCGAGCTTAAGAGACTCCATTAATATCCACAATTCACTCTCCTCTTCAGCTACTCGATGAAGCGACTCCTTAGCAACGCCTAGCTCCGAGGTCACAACTCTCACATTACTACCCAAATCTAAAGCTTTCTCACCACTTCTCATGTTCTGCCTAATTCCTAATTGACTCTCCTCTTCAGCTACTCTTTGAAGCAATTGCTTAGCAAGATCTAGCTCCGAAGTCACAGCTCTTACACTACTACTCAAATCTAAAGCTTTCTCATCATCATCTCTAATGTTCCCCCTAATTCCCAGCTGGTGATTGAGATGCTCAACCGTTTTCTTAGCTTCCTCAAGCTCTAACAAAGCCTCAATCTTCGCCATCTCAGCAATCTTTATCTTCTCCTTCAATTTGTTTACCTCTTTATTCCAGGGACAGATACTTGTCTCCTCCACCAGCACATCCTGCAACCACAAGGAATCTTTTCAAGAAATTCTGGTAGAAATATCAACACTAAGAAACACAAATGTTGTAAAGAGAGCAAGAAACGAAAAGTATCATACCTGCTCTTGCCTATTGTTTAGATGTAGTCCTCCAGAGAAACCAGCATCAAAGCGTTTCACTGCATCTTTAACAGAATGAAATGTAGCCATTTACTCACTGATCCCACAAGTTTGATCTGGAAATAAAAAAAAGTCAGTGGAAAGAAATTTGAGAGAAAGCACACATTTTTCTCTTTAGTAGATACCAAAAAAAAAAAAAAAAAAAAACCAAGAAATGAAGTGCGCATTTGGGAAGTTGTACCTTGAGACAATGTAATTCAATAATGGAAGGAGTAAAGAGGGCAGCTTTGTCTCTAATGTACAACCAAACATGCTCACGTGTCACGTCCGTGCACAGGTTTTGTAAAGAGAGAGGTCACGGGTCTCTATAATCTTTTTTCTTTATCAAGTTATCTCTGCACTGCACGTGAAGTGACTGTTGTAAACCACATAACGCTGAGAGACAATTAGTTTTATCATCAAATTTTTAAAATAGTGAAAAAATTTACCTAACTGGAGTGGAATATGTAAATCTGCATTAGGAAAATATGGAGAAGAGACCTGTGAATCTGCATTAGGAAACTATGGAGACCTGAGCAGCCGCCTGCAACTAGGGTTACGAAATTTTAAAAAAGTTGGGGAAGAATAGTTGACATAATTACGGTTTCACCCTTTACTTAAACGGAAATAATTAATTTTTTATACCCAAAATCAGACCCAGCCCACCGTTGAGATTAGGGGTGGGCGCGGATCGGATATCCGGAAATTTTTAAGTATTTGTGGTTTGCTCCGTTTTTAACGGATATTTAATTTAGTAATTTGATTTGCTCCGAAAATATACGGATATCCAGATTTTCGGATATCCGAAAATTTTACAAGTATTTGCGGATATTTACGGATATTTATGAATATTTAGTTTGATCCGTTTAATATACACAAAACTAAAAACACATCAATTTTTATTATAAAAATATTTTTTATCTAAACTGTTAAGTGAAAATAATTAAAAGAAAATATTTTATTTTATAAAAAATCTATAAAAATTAAACCTATAAAATTAAGATGAGGAAAAAATAATATTTTATATTTAAAAATAATATTAACTATTTGAAACTTTAAATATTAAACTTTACTAAAAACCTTTGTTGATATTTATTAACTAATATCAAATAAATTATTATTTATTAATATATTTTAAGTTTAAATATATTATTTATTTTTTATGAATGATTATTTAGTCATTTATTTTATATAATCTAAATAATTTATAAACAATTGAAAATTTAGGAAGAAAACCGAGAGTATATTAATAAAAATTTATAATATAATTGATATATACATGATAAGATATACTAATATATAATAAATTTATAAAGATACGGATCGGATCGGATATCTGATGTTGTCTAAAAACATATTTGTTATTTGCTCTGTTTTGTACGGATACTACATTTTGCTATTTGCTTTGCTCCGAAGCTTTACGGATATCTGGATTTTTCGAATCGAATAAAAGCAAATATCGGTTCGAAGCGGATATAACGGATATTTTGCCCACCTCTAGTTGAGACTGACAGAGTAATGGGATATAGGCCTCTCAAAAATCGCTTCGAATCCTCCAAAGGAAACACTCTTTCTTGCAAAGAAGGTTCGTTCTGAAAGTACGATAAAGTTTACAAGCACAGCAGCTGAAGATAGAGCATCCATGGCGCATTTGCTCTCATTTCGCGTTTATCTCTCTGCTGAAACGCAGAATGTTTCTCCAGAGTCGTTTAAGCGAATCCAAAAGACTCGCAAACCGTTTTCGCCCGGTAAAAGAGGTAAATTGTTCTGTTTCGTTTCTTCGAGAAAAACAGAGAATTAATGGTAGTGTCTACACTGTTCTGCCTGTTTCCGTCTTCAATCTCCGTGCTTTACTCCGGAAATTCTTGATATGCAGGTCCGGTGACTCCAACGCGGAAACCCCAGAATCTGAATTTGGAGGTTTCTCCACATAGAGCTGGTAAAGTAATCTCATTTCTTTAGTGATATGTGTTACACTGATCGATATAGGTCCTAACGTTTAGTTAGCAGTTAGTAGAATGTTGAGTTTTGCCCATATCTTATAAACAGTTTCTGTTTGTGGAAACGATACAGTATCTGCAGTGAGATTGATGAGAATTGAGTATGGTGGGGCGTTTGCTGATCTTTTGAATGAGAAAGGGAAAGGCTCTGGGAGCAATGAAATGAGTTACGTCGAAAGGACAATCGGTTTTCGGACTCGCGATTTGGATGACCGAGATCTTAGACTGGTTAGTGAATCCACGAATAAGATGGACGAAAGCTACACTCAAATACTTCTTACAATTTAGCCAAAAAAAAAAAAACTGTGGTTTCCCTAAAAGTCGGTTATCTTCTGCAAACAATTTTAGGTAACGGATGTTGTTGGAGGAACAATACGGTGGAGGAGGTACCTTGATCATCTGATTGGTTCCATTTGCCACAACGAAAGAACATTTCGGAATATGGAACCTCTTCTATTGCAGGTATCAGTTCCCTTGTGAGGTTATTATTACAACATAGTCAACCTTAAATCGTGCCTCTCAAACCTTTGTTCTCTGTTTGCAGATTCTCCGCATTGGTTTCTATGAGATCATTAAGCTTGATATGCCGCCATATGCTGTCGTAGATGAGGTATTATTCATTTATTTTGCTCAAAACTTTATGACGCATATAAGTAGCACCAGATATCTAACAATGGGTCTAAAGGTAGGTTTGGTCTTTGTTCACATTGAACACTAAACACACCAAACAGCCTTAACCTTCATCTGCATAATTCTTGCCTACTGACTTAGCGATGTCAAGGATTTCGTCTGATAGTCTTTCTTCTATTTATGTAATGTTGTTACTTACTTACTTGTCTTGTCTACAGAACGTAAGGCTTGCAAAGGTTGCCCTTAGACCTGGTGCTGGAGATTTTGTCAATGGGATTCTTCGGAAGCTAGTCTCTCTTAAGGTTTCTCTTTCTCAGACTTTTTTTTTTTTGCATTTTTGTCTTCAGTCGAACTCAATCAAACAAACTTAAGCTTATATGAATTCTGACGTAGGGATCTGCAGGAAAAAGACGCCCTTCCATTACCTAAAGTGGAAGGGGATGATCGTGCACAAGCACGTGCACTTGCTACACTTCATTCACATCCTGTTGTGAGTTCCTTATAGCTATAATCGCTTCTTTTCTCTGCTGTTTTATTATGAAGCTAGAGCTATGTGATGGTGTGAAATCGAAATTTTGAACTTGTGAGGCTCCTAGATTACTTGGTATTTAGCTGTGAGGATATTTAAGTAGTGCTAAACAACCGCCCTGAGGCCTTGTTCCTGTTTGATGAAAGAAAATCTCCTTTCGATATCTAGTGGATGGTTAGGCGATGGGTGAAGTATCTTGGGTTGGATGAAGCGACAAAGCTGATGACATGGAACAACAATGATCCTGGATTTAGCTTAAGGTTTACCTCCAGAACTCATTTTGCTTTCACAGAAGGAGAGAAAAGCTATTCACTGTCAGGCAGATAATATTTTTTTCTAATGATATCAGGGCCAATACGGGAAAGGACATTACAAGATCAGACCTTGTGGAGCGTCTAAACGATTTAAAGGTATGTTTTCGTTCTAACTTTCACATTCTTTTCTTATCCAAAGTAGAATCATTGTTTTTGTGTAAAAATGAGCACATGCTTCTTTCAAATGCTTAGTTTTTTCCTTCAATCATGGCTTCCCTGTGCTACAGGTTCCACACGAGCTGTCCTTGCACTTGGAGGATTTTGTTCGTATCAAAACAGGCTTGCAGGTGTTTATACTGTCACCCGGATTTGTCCTCTTGTCTACAATTTTCTTAAATCCTCGTTTCTTCTGGCTCGATTCCTTGCTATTTTCAGTTAGAAATTGATCATTGAGCTTTTCTTTAACAGAATGTTGTGCAAGCTGGCTTACTCAAAGAAGGCATATGTTCTGTTCAGGATGAGAGTGCAGGTCAGTTTTGGTTTCGTAGTTATTTGAACTGCTCCTGAATAAAAATTACAGTCTCCGCTTCATAATTTTTTGTTTGTTGTAAACAAATATGAGGTTATTCAAATTATACTGTTCATTTGATATCTAAATATCTATCCATACCTCGTACTACAGGACTAGTAGTCTCAGTGGTGAAACCTGAGCCAGGCGAGAGGATAATGGATGCATGTGCTGCTCCTGGAGGCAAAACCCTTTTCATGGCATCTTGCTTGAAAGGCCAAGGTAATCTTACTAAGGATCACTGTCCTTATATCTCACCCTTTATTGTACATCAGTGTCGAATTAAACCATCTATGTTGAGTATGTTTCCTGTTATACTTGACTTATTCCATCCTCAAACTGACAAACTTACATGGGTTATAGGTATGATATATGCAATGGATGTGAATGAAGGACGGCTAAGAATTCTTGGGGAGACAGCAAAATCACACCAAGTTGATGGACTTATCACAACCATTCATTCCGATCTCCGTGCCTTCGCTGTAAGTCAACAACTTTTGAACTAAGCGAACTTCCCAAGTTTGTAGGCTACTCACATGCTTGATTCCAACTCGATGTGTTTTAGGAAACCAAAGAGGTACAATATGATAAAGTATTGCTCGACGCCCCGTGTTCTGGCCTCGGCGTCCTCTCCAAGGTTAACATGAGAGCACTTTTATCAAACTGTTTTCTCAGAAAGATTTTTCTTTGGCTAGTTGAATAGCTTGCCTGGTCTGATTAACCTGTTCCCATTTGTAGAGAGCGGATTTGCGCTGGAACCGTAAACTTGAGGACATGGAAGAACTTACAAAACTACAGGATGAATTTATTGATTCTGCCTCCAAGTATGCCCACCCTGTACATAGATCTTAATTGGTCACTCGAATAATTCTGAAAAACTAATACCTGACCTATCTAATAATGTTCTCTCTGTGTCCTGAAATAAATCGAAAGACTGGTGAAGCCTGGTGGGTTCTTAATATACAGTACTTGCTCAATAGACCCTGAAGAAAATCAAGGAAGGGTCGAAGCATTTCTCCTAAGACATCCTGTAAGAATTGTTTTTATAGTCAGTCCATTTGCTTTTGTTTAAATGTCGATATTAACTAGTAGAGTCTCTGGTTTCACAGGAGTTCTCCGTAGATCCGGTAGACAGATTTGTACCATCAAGTTTTGTAACGCCTCAAGGCTTCTTTTTATCCAACCCCGTGAAACATTCCTTAGATGGAGCATTTGCAGCCCGTCTGGTTCGAGCCTTATGACGTTAAAGCCTTTAAGGTCATCCTGATGACAAAACCGCGTTCATTTTCTAGTTGTCTCTCTGATGAGACAAAGAAGGTGGAAGAAAACAGCGTTTTCTTCAAAAGGGATCCTGCATCGTACTTGTAGAGTTCGAATTTTGTGGGAGATGCTGAATTGTTTTTGTGGATATGTAAACATCACGCTGTTACAACAAATATAAAGAGAATGCTTCACTGTTTGGGTGAGCCACAAACGGCGGGTCGTGCAGGTGTAACTGTCAAAAAGTATACTTTATGGGCCGAGAGGCCCATATCATAGTTTAGTTCGGCCTAAATATAAAGTCGACCATCAAATCAATCATGCAATACGGACAAATTTATATATTGAATTGAAATATTATTGTACGATTTACTATTTATGTCAGAAAATGTTACACTCTTTGAAATAAAATTAAAAATTGAAATCCATCCTTATGTTTTTAAAATAAAAATATTGAATGTAGAAATCACTAAACCAAGTTAATAGAGAAATACCAAAATAAAAATCTTAAATAGTACTTATTTTCGATAAAGAAAGCATTTTATTTTCAAATGCAGTCCTAGTAAAAACTTGACTATAGCATGTAAAAATAAAATAAAATCAACTCCAGATTTTGACGTTTTCCTTGTCAGCAGAAGAGAATCTTTCCTATATCTTTACGTTTACAGACACTAAAGAGAGAAGTATCATTCATATGAATATTGCTACATCTCTCTCTCTCTCTCTCTCTTACATATCTACATCTTGTCTCTCCATCTCTCTCGTGTTAACCATCAAAAGTTACAGATCTTGATTGGTGATTGGAGATGGAGTTCCGTGAGAAGCTCTTAAAGTTCAAGTTCCAAATAGTCTTCGCCTTCGTTTCCTCTCTCCTCACCGTTGCTCTCGTCACTTATTCTCCCGGTTTCCTCACCGTCTTATCTTACTTCTGGCCTCTATTTCTCTCCACCGCCCTCTTTCTTGCCGCCGTTTTCTTCTTCGCCCGGACCTCCGACCTTCCAACGTCATCTTCCATCTCCGGCGACGGCTCAGGCTTAATACTGGCGGCAGAAGGGATCCTTGACTATGTCGTCGGCGGACAACACGAAGAAACTCTCTTTGATAGCTTCACTAAACTCGACTAGTATGAAGGTCTCTCTGTTTTTATTTCCTGAAGTATTTTCGTTAGTTTTTATATAATAGAGAATATTTATAAATGTAATAGTTAACGTGGAATAAGAATGAATCTTGCTTTATGCTGTTTTTGTGATTTCTTTAATCTAGTTTCTTTTTAGGCGCGAGGCCTTTTTTTGTTTATAGGTTCTAAACAAAACCTGCTTATTCTATACGTTACATTGATCTAATTTACTTTCAAAATCACATTTTTAAAAAATATGGCGAATGACCTCAAAATCCGAGCCTTTACTTTTAAAAATATATCTGAATGAAATCCACCCACCGACGCGACAGCTTTTCATTTGTTAACTAATTTAACGCAAGAAAACAATTTAAATGTTATCTCATTGGTGTATTTGAGTTAGAATACAGGATATGCCTCTTTTATACTAGTACATTTTTGTTTTGTATTTGATTATCATCAATAGTTCGTCCTCAGATTTTTAAAATACGAATGTAGTGTTCTTTTAGATTCTCTATAAATTTGGGTGATCTATCATAGAGAAGAAAAGATTAAATAATTGTATAGCATAGATTCGTACATTTTGGTATGCTCCTCACGTGCCCGAGCATGTAAACTCATGAATAAATCTCGACCACTGAATCTAAATTATCCTAGCTATCTTATGAATTAAAATAACAAGTATGGTTGCAAGTGATGACGTCAGCGTGGCCACTAAAACGTTGCGTAGTTCTCCCATGCGTTTTATAAATGACACGTTGGTTAAGGACTAAGCATAACGAAACGTCACGGAGTTTTCCATTTTGAGGGTAGAAATAAAACGGCACGCATGTGGTCATGTAAGACTATAACGGCAAGCATTTCGTACCCTTTCCCCTTCTTTCGTCTATAATAAAACTGCCCGTCGCCGATTGCATTCTCAGTTCGAAAAGAAAAGAAAAAACACGAATGAGATGGAGGGAAATTTTCAAATTTCGGAAACGACTAGTTTGCTTCAAAGGATCAAAGGTAACAAAAATCTGAATTTACGTACTCAGAATTTCGAATCGTAGGAACAATTATTCTCTAGATTTGATATTATAGCCGATTTTTTCATTGCCTCTTCGTTGTTCACTGCCATGATTCGGTTTTGAGCAGACTTTACTCGATCGATCCTTCAAGCTCTAGCTGAGGGAAGATCTCCGTTAATTTCCATCAATCGATTTAGGAACTATTGCATGAATCCAGAAGCGGAATGGTTCGTCTCTCTTGGATCTCGATTTTCAGTTTCCCTTTTGAATGTTTATTTTCTTCTTTCTTCTGTAAAAAGAGAAATCACTGTTTCTTAGCTTCTTAGATTGAAGAATCAGCCGTGATTGGTCTTAGTTCTAGCAATTTCTGAAGGATTACAAGGGATTGAAAACTAAGAATTTGAAATGATACTCATCGATTTTATTTTTCCTGTAATTTGAAGTCTTAATCTGCTTAAGACGCAGCTCCGAGGATTATAGCGTGACCATGAACTCATAAGCTTACCATATACGTTTCTTCTGTCTACAGCTTTTGCAGCTATGATGAACCCAAAGGTCAGGAAATTCTCACCCTTAAGAAGGAATCCCAAACCTACAGAATCGGTGAGTCAAGCTCAGAAAATTTTCCAAGCAGACTCGTAATGTTATCTTGGTCAGTGTAACCAGTATCAGAATATGCAATTGCTTACGGATTTTTACCTTCAGATATGTTGCTAAGAGTATTGCTGATAGTCCAACAACTTCTGCAAGAAAATAGACATGGGTCGAAAAGAGATATCTACTACATGCACCCATCAGCATTCAAAGGTAAATTTGGAAGATCATAACTGTATGTTTTGTTATCAGTGTCTCTGATTAGTATGCTTCGATATGATTCTGCATCACTCTTGTTGTGTTCTTGGACTCACAGCACAATCAGTTGTAGACCGCGCAATTGCTGATATATGCATCCTTTTTCAGTGTAGTCGGTACAACTTGAATGTGGTTAGTACTTGTATACTTTCACTTTTAATATGCCTTTTTAAAGAATTATAATCCCCAACTGAGTATCGGGATGTGTGATTCATGTATATGTGATATTTTGCAGGTTTCTGTTGGAAACGGGTGGGCGCTCTTGATAACATTTACAGTGTTTCTATCATGAGGCATGTCCTTCTTTTGGGCTCTATCTCATCATTACTTTATTGTGTTGTAGGTTGGTGATGGGCTGGTTAAAGTTTAGGGAAGCTGGAAGGAAGTTTGATTGTTTAAACAGCCTGAATACTGTAAGATTGGAACATAAGAATCACTTTTCATGCTTGCATCAGGAAGTTTAACTCCTGTAAATGGCTTCATTTTCAGGCATTTCCCGTTCCTGTTCTTGTAGAGGAAGTTGAAGGTATTCATATATGCAAAAATTTATCTTCTTCTTCTTCTTTTTCACCTACTGATATTGGCTTTAGAAGGCCTGATGTTTATGGTAAAAGTCACATAGATAAGCAGCATTTTCCTCTGTCACTACTAGACAATCATTTTAAACAAAAATTGTGTTAGGAATGATAATTGGATGTCACCTTCCTGCTTGCAGATATAGTTAGCTTAGCAGAGTACATACTGGTGGTGGAGAAAGAAACAGGTAGTCCCTCAATTTACATAGCAACCAGAAGGATGCTTTTCTTTCTTCATGACTACCAACTGATCAGTCACTTCATCCATGGTTTAAAGTATTCCAGCGTCTAGCAAATGACATGTTTTGCAAGATGAACCGCTGCATCGTTATCACAGTAAGCACTGCAGTTTATTCGTTTCGGCTAGTTTTTCTTTCCGTCCCTTCCATTTTTGGTTTAACATCAAAGTTCTGGTTGTTTCTGGCAGGGAAGAGGATATCCTGATGTCTCAACAAGAAGGTACATATAAACTAATCCAAGGTTTTTAGAATATGATCGTATCAGACATTCTTCTCCTCTACCAATATGTTAGCGAATGACATAGATTCTTTCCAGGTTCTTGCGACTCCTCATGGAGAAGTTGCAACTACCTGTGCATTGTCTAGTCGACTGTGATCCATATGGCTTTGAGATCCTGGCCACATACCGTTTTGGCTCTATGGTTAGATTCTGTTATAGTATGGAAATGATTTGTTTCGAAATATTTCACCGCTTGCATTGTTTTGCATGTGGCCTTGACCCATTTCATCTTAACCATTTTCATTGTTTCACACTTTTTGTCTTTCTGTAAGCAAATGGCCTATGATATAGAGTCCTTGCGAGCACCAGATATGAAATGGTTGGGGGCTTTTCCTTCAGACTCTGAGATATACAGTGTTCCCCAACAGTGTCTTTTGCCTTTGACAGAAGAAGGTAAGATGATTAAACACCTGATCGTTTGTATTTTTTTCCCTTTTTCACTTCTTCCTTTTTTTTGAGACTGGACAATTTTCACTCACAGATAAGAAAAGAACTGAAGCAATATTGCTTAGATGCTACCTGAAGCGTGAAATGCCACAATGGAGGTATCAGGAAACTTTCATGTCTTTTGTATTCACATTTCATCTAAAAGCACAATAAATTAGTTCTGAATAAAACCACTTGGTCATTTAAAGGTTGGAACTTGAGACGATGCTGAAAAGAGGAGTAAAGTTTGAGATCGAAGCACTATCAGTTCACTCACTGTCTTTTCTGTCAGAGGTTTATATTCCTTCCAAGATTCGCAGCGACGCAAGTTTCCCTTGAGCCTTATACGAGTCTCCAACTCAAGGTATATGCTCATCGAATTGTATAACTCTTACTAAGCGTTTTACACCAAAATGCTTTCCGGATCGGATAGAAATATGATAAATTGGAAACTAATTAACAAATTTTCTAATTCATAATTATTAAAAGTTAAAACACAATACAAATGATCATAATTCTCAATTTTTAATAATATACTACAAAGTAATGAACCAATGAGTTGCGTTTTACAAAACTACCACTTCCTGTTGATTTTCTGGACTTTTGAGTAATATAATACGGTTCATTTTCGTTCTAATGTTACAAACCTAATTTGAGGTATTCAAGCCGTTCCCCTGAAACCCTTGAACACTCCAATCCAAAAGAGAAGAAGAAAACCTTGCACGCACCTAAAAACCATGTCCTCCTCTCTCTCTCGCCTTCTCCTTCGTGGCACCAACAGTTTCAGCAGCCCAACGAACGGCCGATTTTTCTCCGCCGTTGCTGCTGCTGCAGCTACAACACCACGAACACCGTCCCTCATCACCCTCGTAAATGACGAACGCGACCCCAAATACATCACGGAGAAGTTCAAGAAGGCCTGCGAAGCGGAATGGTTCCGGAAGAACATAGCCGTCTATGAGAGAACCGTTCGCCGTCTCGCCGCAGCCAAGAAGTTTGAGTGGATCCAGGAGATCCTGGAGGAGCAGAACAAGTACCCAAACATGGCAAAGGAAGGATTCGTGGCGAGGATTATCAACCTCTACGGACGTGCCGGTATGTTCGAGAATGCACAGAAGGTGTTCGACGAAATGCCTGAGAGAAACTGCAAGAGATCAGTATTGTCTTTCAACGCCTTGCTGAATGCGTGTGTGAACTCCAAGAAGTTCGATTTGGTTGAAGGTATCTTCAGTGAGTTGCCAGGTAAACTCTCGATTGAACCAGATATTGCATCTTACAATACATTGGTCAAAGGATTGTGTGGGAAAGGTTCCTTACCCGAAGCTATTGCGTTGCTTGATGTGATTGAGAGCAAGGGTCTGAAACCTGATCACTTCACTTACAACTTGCTTTTACATGAGTCGTACACAAAAGGGCACTTTGAGCAGGGAGAAGAGATATGGGCTAGGATGGTAGAGAAGAATGTTTCCAGAGACATCCGTAGTTACAATGCTCGGTTGTTAGGATTAGCCTTGGAGTTGAAATCAGCAGAGATGGTTAATGTCTTTGAAGAACTTAAGTCTAATGGGTTGAAACCCGACGTGTTCACATTCACTGCCATGATTAGAGGATTCGCCGGAGATGGAAAAGTGGATGAAGCCAAAACGTGTTACAAGGAGATGGAGAAGAATGGGTTTCGCCCAATGAAATTTGTGTTTTCCTCGTTGCTTCCTGCAATGTGTAAGGCGGGAGATTTAGAGTCTGCTTTCGAGCTATGCAAGGAGATATTCAGCAAGCGTCTGCTTGTCGACGAAGCCATCGTGCAGGAGGTGGTTGATGAATTGGTGAAAGGGTCCAAGCAAGAAGAAGCTGAGGAGATTGTTGAACTCGCGAAGAAGAATGAGTATTTACAGTTCAAGATACGTCTCTCTTCCGAGGAGTAGTTCTTTGGCAATGGCTTTATTTTAACAAGTCTCTTAGTCTATGTTTCCTCTGTTTAATTAGTCTTGTTGCGGTGATTGAATTACTGAACTACCTGTAGTTTTGGGTTTGTGTGGGTTTTAAAATGAAGTTTCGTGTTTGAAAAAACAGCAAAACAATTGATGTTTATTTATAAACAAAAGCGCTACGTAGTCCAGAGAGAGAGAGACATCGCGTTGTAGAACGGCACGCTGTTTTGTTTTGTAAAAATAATATGCATTTCGCATAATTTTGAATAAGACCTAGCCAGCCTCTCTTCTTCTATGTCCAAAACCCAAAACCCTCCTCATACTCACATTTCTTCTACCTGAACGAAGCCATGAGCAAGGTGGGCTCCTCGCTGTACAGTCGCCTCCATGGAATCTTCAAACAAACTCCAGTCGCCACAGTTAAGCCCGCGAAACCTAAAACCAAATCCAAAAAGATCTTTACTAAGTCGAAGGAATCCTCCGCTATTTCTGCTTCCGCCTCCGCCTCCACGTCCGCCTCTGGAGGTGACGTAGTGAAGCCCTCGAATGATGCCAAAGGGACGAAAGATACGAAATTGATGAAGAAAGTAGAGAAGTTCAAGAGATCCTGCGAGTCGGAGAGCTTCCGGCAAGTTCATGGACTCTACTGTGCGTTTATCCGCCGTCTCAGGGAGGCGAAGAAGTTTTCAGTGATAGACGAAGTTCTTCAGCACCAGAAGAAGTTCGACGACATAAAGTCGGAGGGTTTCGTTATCCGTTTGATGCTTCTCTATGGGTACTCGGGAATGGCGGAGCATGCGCACAAGCTGTTCGATGAAATGCCTGAGCTAAACTGCGAACGAACCAACAAGTCCTTCAATGCGCTCCTATCGGCTTATGTTCATTCGAGGAAGGTTGATGAGGCCATGAAGGCCTTCAAGGAGCTGCCGGAGAAGCTGGGTATTACTCCAGATCTCGTCACCTATAACACCATGATCAAGGCACTTTGCCGTAAAGGCTCGATGGATGATATATTATCCATCTTGGAGGAGCTTGAGAAGAACGGGCTTGAGCCTGACCTGATCACTTTCAACACACTGTTGGAAGAGTTTTACAGGAGGGATTTGTTTGCTGAAGGAGATAGGATTTGGGAGTTGATGAAATCCAAGGATTTTGTTCCCAACATCAGGAGTTACAACTCAAGAGTGAGAGGTATGACTCGGAACAAGAAGTTCACCGATGCAACTGCTCTCATTGATGCTATGAAAGCCGAAGGGATCTCCCCAGATGTCCATACGTACAATGCTTTCATCACGGGTTACCGCGGTGATGACAACCTCGAGGAGGCTTTGAAATGGTACAGTGAGATGAAGGAGACAGGTCTGACTCCTGATTCGGTGACTTACTGTCTGATAATCCCTCTTGTCTGCAAAAAAGGTGATCTTGAAAGAGCGGTTGAGATATCCGAAGAAGCCATCAGACACAAGGTCCTGTCTCGCCCGAACATGTACAAACCTGTGATCGATCGTTTGATGAGTGAAGGCAAGATTGATAAAGCAACGCAGCTAGTGAAGAATGGCGGGTTACAGAGCTACTTTCGCTACCTACCAGACTTGTCCGCTGGTAAGAAGACCTCTTCCAGTCCGGTCGAAACCTGCTTGCTGGACGATTAAGAGTGCTTTGATCTGTGTTTAGCAACTGTCTTAACGAATGCGTTATAGTGGTGGTGGCTTCCTATCTCTGTTATCACTTGTTTAGATTTTGTTAACCAGTGGCTCCACTTGCAAGGACACATGGTTATATTGGTCTCTCTTGTGATTGTTTTTTTCTTCCTCAATTTATAATTTTGGGGTTTCGCTTCCCTTGATTTTATCTTGAATAAAGTTATAATTTGTCATGATTATGGAGATGAATATGCAATGTATTCTCATTTCTCTTGTTCCTTGCCCTACACATTATATTACCCCTAATCACGTCTTGTTCCACATTTTCACTAGTTGCTCTTTTGAGCTTGTGCCGAGTAGTTCCAGTACCACTGTAAGTTCGTGAAGAGGAATTTGACTTGAACTTTGTTTATGAACCTAATTTACTTAATTGGTGATTTATATAGAGAATCATAGGAATGTGGGATTTTTAATATTGGTAGCAGCCATGGAGAAGAAGAAGAAGCAAGGTGAAAACAGTAGAAGAAGAAGAAATAAGGTTTCAGAATTTCTAGAGCGTCTGAAATACAGTTTTAGGCAAGTATTTAAATTCAAATCTCTACAAATACGAATACGTCTTTGTTTGTATAATTAATGAGTATATACGGTATTCATTACAATATATATGAAGATATGAAATGATCTTTTCATTTCCCTCCTACTAGACCGTCGATAAACAATTTCGGAATACTGAATATCCAACAACGACGCAATCTCAGGGTAAGATAATAACATTTACGTCTTTTATCCAAAATCAGATACACTTGCCTTAAACAAGAACCATCTATATATATATCTTGACCCATAAGTATTATCTTGTTAGATCGATCAATCAAACAAGCAAGCAAAGCAAGAAGGAAAACATTCACTAGCTCCAATGGATTATGCCGTCGATATGGTTAGCGAAACGAATACATAATTCGATTTAATCGATAAATTTTATCGTCACTTTTTTTTGTTTGTTCTTAAAAGAAAATGTTTTTTTTTTTTTTTTTTGTTAATTACTCTTGCAGAGCTGCGAGATGAAAGTGAACAGAAACTGCGATCTTTGCAGGCAAAAAGTGTCAGAGATTATGCATAATCTCACCGGTACCGTTTTTCTTCTTACTCTTTCTATTCGAATTTTATCGTTAGATGTGATGATGTTTTTCAAATTTCACAGCGGTTTACTCTGTGGATTTCGTCGGAGAAGGCAACGTAATCAAGCTCAAGGCGAGAGCGAACCCTAACCTAATTTTGGCGATTATTCAAAGGTACGGCGATCACGGCAAGATCACCAATTTCCATTTGGACGGCCAACTTTTCACCGCTCTCCCCAGAGGCGGTTTTAGCAGTCCATCAGGCTTTTACCATCCTTCGACCGCCGCCGGTAATTATCAGTATCCGCCGCAATATTTCGCCGGAAACTATGGTTACCCAATGTCGAATCCGCCGCCGCCTTATTTCGCCGGGAACTGTGGTAACCCAATGTCGATTCCGCCGCAAAAGCAGACGGAGGCTCCTGCGGGGATATACAAATATCACACAGCGCCGCCGTCTTTTACTCATACGCCGCCACCGCCAAGACCGTTACATAGTTACGCTTACGTAGAGCCGCCGTATTGGCCGACGAGTTCGTCGAGTGGAGGTAACTGCGTAATTATGTGATGTGAAGCACTTGTTGAGTTCGCCACGTTTCAGTTATAATCCTGATCGCTGTTTTTTGAAAATGCGATTGCGTTATAGACGTGGATTTTGTTTTGTCTGAAGATTAGTTAACAAAAGACCTTACAAATTGTTTTTTTTTTTTTTTTGAACATTAACATTACCAATTGTTGAGTAATGGGTATTTTAGCAGAATAAGTCTGCGATTATGATTTCAAAGTATTTTCAACGTTTTATGATGTGATGATGACTTTGATTAGTTATACCTTTTATCAAAGAAGCTATCATGTACTTACTACTCAATTCAGTTGGAGACTATAAGTCATGAAGAAACAAAAATTGCTAATTTTTTTCTTAGATATACCAAATAAATGGCCTAGAGACTGATCTAAACTTCGGTATGGCTGAGCCGAGGAAACATTAAACCGGCGGTTAGACGTAGCTCAGGATAGTGTTGGACTTAAACACTATAAGCTTTATAAAACACTAATTAATCTTCCAAGATTAGTGATGAGTATGAGTGTTTTGGGTGGGTTCAACAAACTTTCCCGTACACAACACACCCCAAGGGCCCCCAGGAACAAAGTAGTGATTACATCTTAATTCAAGCTCGACCTCTCATTCTCTCATCATTTGCCTTTTGTGGTCGGTCCAGTTTCACCAAGAAAAAGAAAAAAAAAGTAGAGAAGAAAATTTTGAGTTTACATACTTGAAAACAATTACATCTATTTGTTTTTTTTGTACTCCACCGTTCCATATAACCTCAAACAAAAGCATCTGAATTCAACATCTTACTCGAAAAGACTGACTTGGTTTAGTCTTGTAACAACTTTTACGAATATTGTTATGGTTTTTAGCTCTACCTTTGAACGTTATTGAGCATATGATTGTTTACATGTATGTGTTTAACTTTGATTAATTTTCCTTTCAATATGAATTGGACCCACTCAATTCTCTAATACATGAGCCTGATTGTTTTATTATTATAATTTATAACTTGATTTTTTTGGTTTCTTTGTCCACTGATTGAGTTTACTGTTTCCTCTCCATGTCTTTCGGTTTTTAGTTTTGGATTTTTGGTATGTGTAAATAGCTCCATGATTGATCTATTCACTCTATCAATCATTTCTTGTTAGGTATTTTTGTGGCTTTTTCTCTCTCTCTCTCTCTCTCTCTCTATTCTATGTACACCGTTCAAACCATTATACATAGATGATCATCATACTCTAGCATACTTACATTCATAAACATGTTGCAATCAAAGCCTAACATCAGTATATAACTTGAGATAAGCTGACCTCTTTAAATAATGATCTATTTTTCGTTTCTCATATTTAGTTATATATAAAAATGCGTGCATCCGTTTACGTGAACGTGAGTGGACATGTTCTGTTGTGTCAAAATCGTATAGCCCATTTTCTTAAGCTAATTAATTAATATAACCAAAAGAATAAACTGCATGGTCTTTGTAGTTGTATTCATATATAATCTTCATTATCCATTCAACTGTCTCATCCATGCTTGCTTGATACATGTAACATTACTAAACTCTTCTTTCTGGTTTGCTCATATATATTTTGTTGGTTAATGGGTTTGATCAATTGATATTAGTCAAATCACATGTTTTCCTTTCAAAATACTATACCAGCCTCTCGAGAGGACTAGAAAAAAAATCTAAATCACATAAAATAGAACGTGTTGCTAATATAGTTAAACCGTTTATTTGTGGAAAAGTGAAAACCCAACGACTAGAAGATTCTTAGCAAGGCTTCACAGTTAACAGAAACTCCATCTTGAAAATATCCAAAATCAATTATTAATTTTGAGACTAGTGATGGATCATGGATAGGTATGTAGTGGGAAACTTGAAAAAAAAGTATGGAGGTCTAGAGCTAAAAGCGAGGAGGAGAATCCATTTGAGTCTTTACAGCAAAATAATCATACTTCGCTTTTTAGTATAGATTCGATCATCCGTTGATAATTGTTCCACTATTTGCATATGGATAGATGGATGATGGGATTATATGCACGCACGATTAGACACGATTCATCATTTTGGCGTAACGCAACACTATATTGATTGTAAATTGTAATTAATGAGTCTAAAAGTCTCTAAAATTATTATCTTAGGATTCGCTACTACCATATTAAAAAAAAAATGTAGTACTACTGATAGATGCATATGTACATTTATCTTTACCAGATCCATGGTTTCATAATCGTTAGATATCGATCCATCCAAAAATGTTCTCAGACCAAGAAAAAAAAACATTGTAACAAAAATCAGAAATGAATTAATCCGTCAAATATCATATGTTTTTTTTAAAAAAGTTGAAAATTCATTATATGCATAAGTACACGTGTGCGCAGCAGCATTATTCCCGAAACCATCGGGTGCAGACAACACATAGCTAAAAAAAATATATAGTACATCAGTCTAGGCAATAGAATCAATAATGGAGATCGCTATGATATGTGTATGTATACTAGATATTTATGTATGCATAGTCATACGTTAATCATGAATCGTAGTCAATTATTCTCGAATTTTCTTGCATGCATTTCTTTGATGAGCTTCGTCTTTGCATAATCAAGAATAATATACCACCAACGGACCTGATTAGTTTTTTTTTTATTTGCATCATCCTCGGATGACATTTTGGTATATATTGTGTGATTCATAATTTTTCCGAATTAGCGTGTAATATTAAAACATATCATGCTGTTTTAGCCAATGACACATTGTTTTGAACAATTATATGCGATAAAACACACCGCTTATCTTCTTAATAGAAACTAAAACTTTTTTAAAAAAATGTACGCGAGAGTTCGAGATAAAAAGAGATTCCATTAGAAAAGAGATGCTCAAAGTACAAATAATATGAAGAAGAGGCTAGAAAACTCGCTCTATATGAGCTTATTCCGTGCGTTTAAACTTAAACAAAACTACTGATTAGAAATCAAACAAGTATTAAATGCCGTTTAGCTTCGATTCTAAGCTCTTCCTTCATCTTTCTAATGAATTCATCGAATTTCTTGTTCATCTCTTCCTCCGTCACCACAACATTATCTTCCTCTTCTTTAAATTCGCCACCAATATCACGCTCTTCTTCTAGATCACCATTATATGTTAATGGCTCATCATGCTCTTCTTCTTCTTCTTCGTCTTCTTCTTCTTCTTCTTCGGTTTCTTGATCTTTTGCATTAACTTCCTCTTCAAGAAAGAAGTCTGTGCCTATTTCATGAACATAGTTATACTCTAGCTCCAATATCGCATCGTAACTATCGAAATCTCCGTAATCGAAGGTTTTATGCGCCTTACTCCAACTTTCCTCTATTGGTTTTGACGAAACCATCAAACCAGAGTACTTAGCGACAAACACTAAGAGACCGTTGGAGAGGAGGAACATGTACTTCTTATCTACTGCGTGTGTTACGAGTTGAATTGTAAATCTATATAAATAGAAGTTGTGAGTCATTAAAAGAGATAAAACCCATATAGTAACTACTATGAACTTCGTCAATTTCTTCAGAAGCTCCGGTTTTACTTGATCCATCTCTCTGATTTTTCCTTTGGTTTTGTGTCGATGATGATTGATGATTGATGAAGATAAGAGGAAGAAAAAGGAATAATCAGCAAAAAGTGTGATTGTGCAAAGGTTTACCACTCAACGGCTTTGGTATTTATAGAAGTTACTACGAAATTTGTGCCAATGGGAATTGGGGATGATTTTACCAAACTACCCCTTTGTTCTGAAGCTGCATGCCACGTGTTAATGGTGATTTTCTCAGTTAGCATATTAAAAAATGATATAATTTTGGTTTCCTTTTAGCATATTATTGGTTTGATATTATGGAAATGATCTTCTTATGAATGTTCCAAAATTTGTGATTCTTATTTATTATACTTTGATTTGTATGTAATGTGGCTATGAAATTTCTTTACCAAATGAATTTGAATCTGGTAAACTGCATATGTTATTAAGAAGAAAAAATGAAGTTTTTAAGTAATGAATATAAGATATGATCATGTTTTAGATAAATTTAAACATAATAGAATAGAAAGGGCTTCAAGCCTTCAAGGGATGATTGGTCTTTCAATAGTGCATGAGGGCGTGTGGACTATACTTATTTTGGTTTAAGTCTTTGTCTTTAAATTGCATGGCGACATCATTATTGTTAGGCTTATATTTGTATTTATCTTTACAAACAAAAATGACAAATGTCTTTATACTTCCGTGTGAAATTATGGATCATACATATTACAGGTTAACAATTTGCATTCAAAAGTCAAAACACTGTAGTCTGTAGGTGACTGAAATCTATAATAAGATATATATATATAGATGGTATTCGAATAACTAAAGTGTAACAACTAATCAGTGTATGATTAGTTGTTACACTTTAGTTATTCGAATACCATCTACATATATATCTTATTATAGATTTCAGTCACCTACAGACTACAGTGTTTTTTCCTTATTGTATTTTGGATTTATTTTAGTATATTAATGTTGTTAACTCGGATGTATATATACGATTTCACAGTCACTATTTTTTATTCCTCTTTTTCATGAAGTTTTGCGACCTGATGATATTTCAAAGATAATTTTTGGAAAACAAAAGAATCTTCTAAAGATGTACAATCCACGAGAAGGAAATACCGAAGGAGAATGGAGTATTCTTATTTTATTAGGTACGAATGTTTTGGTTCTAAAAGAAATGATAAGATAACAAGAAGAATGTTCGACCAAAAAAAAAGATAACAAGAAGAATATGCTATTCATGGGATGTCTCTTTTGACTATATATATTTGTTGTAGTGTCATGGACTCCAAACGAAATAGTACCTAAGAAAAATGAGAATATTCTTATTTTCCAATGAATTTTAAATGAAATTAGTAATAGTAATGCCATGCAGGTTATATAAGCGTTGTACATAAAATAGGTCCACTCCTCAGTCTCCTCCTTTTTAGAACAAACAAAGAACTATTAAGTATATAAATCGACCGAGGCTCGTATTGAAAAAAAAAAATACAAAGTTTATCAACGACCTAAATAGAAAATACTATAGACAGTAGAGAATGTGTCACCAAAATACAATGTCATACTTTTCTCTTACAAAAAGAAACTATCAGATATCTGTAAATTGCCTATACATGCTCCACGAACACAGGCTTTGTCCCACGAACTTCGTTAGATTTCTCAATGGCAAAGAGAAAGGAAGAGAATTAACGTTTCTTTTCTAAGATTCGAGAAACTTGTTAATCATCCATACACGAACGGACGAGTATTCCGATGTGAATAAAACGTTT